CCTCTAATAGATAGAATTTAATTCATGACCCTGACAATGATGGACGCGGTTCGACAATTAGGTGAAAGAGTAATTGTAATTTACAATATTGATGGATGCTTTAGAAAATGATCACTTTTATTAAGTAATTTTTTAGTAAAGGTTCTGAGTTTTGTTAGTTAGTAAAATTTTCGTTTTTAGAAATGATTAATCAAGGGTGCACCCATTTGTAGTTTATCATTTTGTTAAGTTGGTGGTTTATCAATGATTAACCAATCTGTATCAGTCGCTGTTAAATTATTGGTAAATCAATAATAAATCGGTTTATCATTAATAAATTATTAGTATATCATTGATTAACAATTGCGGATTTTATGAGGTGTCAAACTTCTTTTTTCACTACAAAATCAGTTACGGTCAAACTACAAATTCTCCCAATCATTTATCTAAAATGATGATGGTATACTCGAATACGATAAAGTAAACATCAACAGACAAAGACTCGATCATGTAGGCTATGATATAATAAAATGAACAAAAAATTTTGCAACTGTTTGAGCATGGGTTAGGGTTAGGATTTAGGAATCAAATTTGAGGTTGATTTAGGGATTACTTGCGACGATCCTAACTACGTGGTTGTCACTTAAACATAGTAATCATGTATTTACTTAAAATACTTGAATTAATTAAACCGAAATAAATTATATATATATATATATATTACAAAAGTAGATAAACTTAACTTTAATATTAACTAACAGATATTAGTTTTGAAAATATAAGAAGTTTCAGTTTTCTTAAATCTATACTGCATAAATATAATTAAAAGTCTTAACATAACAAAATATAATACATAATTATAATACGAGTGGTGTCCATTCTCCACACGGCTCGCCTGCTACTACGCACAGCCTATCATTCACTTTTCATAGGCTGCTTACCTACAATATAAATACATACTGGGTGAGTTTTTACTCAATAAATAGGAACTATGACTCACTAATTAAAAATATAATACTTAGAGTATAATAATAAATGCATGAACCAATTATGCTCATTTATGAACTTGACTTATTTTTCTAATGGCCCTGAGTGTTCGTACCAAAATGTGCACACGATCAGCGGGTAGAGAGGGTTTGTAACGTCCACAACTACATCGTGATCCTAATTTAAGATAATTACCTCCTCAAGTACTAAATCCTCCCCTTAGGTCGAGAGGTTGGTACAACACTCCCTTAAACATTCTTATTAGTCATACTGATCTTATTAGTGAGCATGCGATATGACATGACATAGTATATTATAATATAGAATATAAACATGTACTTAAAACATCTATAATATTTTACTTTAAAACTTATTCATACTGTAGGCAAGATTCTCACTACCTGATATCCAACAATGGTTGGGATTCTAAGACTTACCGAGGTTAACCTCTATTGTTATATTCTATAAAGAAACCCCATTGAGAGTATGAGTTCGACTTATTATAAACTAGTCTGATTAGCATATTTTAGTTAGGAATTTATTTCTATACCTAGAAAATATTTTCCTTCTTAAATAAGGATCATAAGACTTTCTTATATATTACAAGAATTATTTTCCTTATCATAAAAGTTTCCTTTATTGCCTTGCTTAAACGGTCCTAGGTTGATAACTAGTCTATTAGTTAGTTATCTAAACCATAGACGTTGTTTGAATTACCAATTCTTATTAATTTGTAAATTGGGCTCATAATAGTATTAAGGCCCACTTGGTCTAAAACATTACTAGATACTAGTGTGCCGAAATTAGGCTCCAAGGATTTCGGGACTAATACGGGTGTTGGGCCCGTATCTAGTGTCGTTGCGATTTAGAAATTATCTTTCCAATTCTAGTTTAGACATCGTTAGGGGAAAACCGCATTTTAAGCTAAGACTTTGAGTTTTACCGTTAGTCACCTCATTTTGACCTTAAAATTGGTGCCTAACGGCACTTAGAGGTTATTTAAGAAAATTACCATAAATTGTAAAATTTCTTAAAAATTCCTTTTTAGGTCTCATTTACTAAATCGTGTCTTAAACTTTCATTTTCTGTAAAATTTTAATTCGAACATTTCAGAAAATGTTTTTCTTTAGAAATCATAACAGTTTTTAAACTTTTTCCTTAATTTGCAAATAACTACGTCTTAGAGTCAAATTCTCAAAGTCTGTAATTAACAAAACTTTTAGAGTCAAATTCTCAAAGTCTGTAATTAACAAAACTTTTTTCGTCTCGCCGAGATCTAAAAATTTTACGTTTTGCAAAAAATGAAAGTTTCGTCTCGGAATGGCCCGTTTTGTTAAAACAGTGGTTGAACGTAAGTTAAATTGAGCAAATTCAAAAACGGCCTGAAAACGCGTATTAGAGTCAAAATTGTGATTTTTTGCAGTTATGAAGATTCATCCGTAACGTCGAAATCTTCGAGACGCGTGAGTTGGAAATCCTGGATTTGACTTCTAAGGGGTCCAAAACATTAAAAATAGCAACTATCCAGAATTAACAATTTTTGCATAGTTTTTAAAAATTTTCTGGACAGTTTTGGAAAAACATATAAAAATACATTTTAAAGGTAGAATTGAGATTTTTCTTTAAAATTGAGATTTTTTACAGCTACGATAAAATATTCAAAACATCGAGATCTACAATTTTTGTGAAATAGCATTTTTCTCAATTTAAATTCTAACAGTTTCGAATTTTGAATCAAAGTGGACTGAAAATTTTTAACAAAAACATAAACTTGGCAAACTCAAAATCTACACCATTTAACTTCTTGAAATGAACATGCAAAGCTTAAATCAAGACTTAACCGTACTAAATAGCAACCATAGACCATAAAACACAAACTCAACATCATAGATCTACTATAGAACTCATTGCCTGTGAAGATCTTGCCATAAAACACACATACACACCATAAAAATACAAACTTTGAAAAAAAAAAAACAAAAACAAAAACAAAACAAACAAACTTTGCTCTTAAGAAGGAGATGATTAAACTTATGTATGGTGAATCTTACCTCAAACCTTAAGAGATGATGATTTTGACTACTAAAGTGAGAAAATCCTACAAAAGTTTAAATTTTGCAAGAAAGGTTGAAACTTTGAAGAAACCCCAAAGAGAGAAAATGAAAGTGAAATCTTGAATTTACCCTTGAAAGTACTAGGTAATTTTAACACAAACTTCTTCTCATTCTTCTTGAATGTGGTTTGAAGATCTCTTGATGTGAGAAAAGGAAAAAATTTTGACAGAGAGAGGCTTGAGAGGTTCGGCCAAAGCAAGGAAAAGAAGAGAGAAAGAGAGAAAAATGGGAAAATGAGAGAAAATGAAAGGAAAATGACCTTAAATATTAAGTGGATCTCATTAATCTTCTGAAACTAACTTAACTAAACTTAAAATTAAGTTAGTGAAGCTTAAAGTGGGCTGGTCAAACTTAGGAAAAGAAGATAATTTTTGACACCTCATTAAGCATATTAACCTACATCAAATCAAAGACAAACATTGCCTAATCTTTGTCTCCTATTAATTCTTCCTTTAACAGATTAAACTTATACTGACAGTAACCTCTAGATTAGTTATTAGAATAAATATTTTCTAACGGTTTTCAGTCCACTGTTTAAAATTATAGTCTAACATTACTTTCGGAGGAAATCAATATTGGTTCAGATTTTAAATCACGTAGATGATTCAGACTATTTTAAGAATTTAAAATTTACTAAAAAATACTTAAAATTTGAGTTTAACATGCTTGTCTTAATTTCTCTGTAAAACATAGTAACCGACATTGTCGATTCCTGAGCCCGACTTTACGGTTTTTACTAAAAACATGACTCGCGTAACTCCAATTTAACTATTTGGCAATTAAGGACTTATTTAAATGTTAGAGTGCTTTTCAAAACATTGCTAACACCAAACTGTACTCAAAAATTCTTATGACTAGAATTTCAAGTCAAATTCGGATCAAAATTTCACCCACCTTAATATGCGGTCAGGGTTATCAACCGAGTTATAACACAACATAATTTTAACTTAAGAATTTTATATAGAATTTTAGAATAATGTTATTAATTTCATAAATCCTCCATTATAAAACATGTCATTATCCGGAAAAATTATTGATTTTATTACATAAATTATACTAATTAATTCCAAGATTTTCTCGATCATTACATTACGTTAGGGTTTTGATCTAATACTGATTTAGAGATTCATACGATCAATTTGTACTATTAGTTCATCTGCAAAAAATTTTGTAAATAACATAAAAAAGTAGTAAACCTAAATTTTTGGGTTTTAATTTATTCTATAATGACGATATTTACCAGTAAATTTGAGATTTATCGGATGCCAGATTTAAAATTTACATTGATTTTTGAATTTTAATATATTTTGTAAATGGTATTTACCAGTAAATACAAAAAATTATTAGATATGAGATCTATAATTTACATTGATTTTTTGATTTAAATTTATTTTGTAAATATGGTATATACTAGTACGGTATTTATGAGTTATTGAATTTTCAGATAAATACAGTATTTATTTACCATATTTTTAGGTAACTACAATATTCTCTTACACTTTTAGTTTTTTAATAGAGTTAAAAGTTAAAACCTAACATATTAAAATATGTTACTTATTATCTATTCTAAAAAAATTATGTTATAATATAGTGACCACCATCTTAAATAAAAAAATAAATAGAGAAAATTGTATAATTTGCTTTTAAGAGTGTAAGAATCTGAATTTTTATGCATCATTCTTGATTAATAATTACCAATCAAGAGTGATAAATAGAAATTTTGACTTATACACTTTTAAGAAATATGTGTCTCTTTTCCCCATAAAAATAAGCCTAATGATTGGGCTACCCGAAGACTAAACATATCTAAATCCGACCCACCCAATTTTCCCTTCCACTTGTCGCTTGTAATATCTCGTCCCTCGTTGGAAGTCTCCATCCAAATAACCATGATCACAAAACGAACCCAGAAAGGAAGATAGATAAGTGGGACCCAGATTAAACGAAATCGTTGCCAACCTCACAATCCCATGCTCTGTACAAAACACCATCCAATCGAAATCAAAACAACAACAGAAGATCAATAACAAGTTGAAAAAGGGAGAAAAAAGAGCTGGAAGGAAACAATTGAAGAACTAAATCAGAGATGGGCTTAACATCACTAATATCACCTTCCCAACACATATATTCAAGTTCTCGCTCAATCTCTCAACTGTCTCCTCTCCAACTATGCTTCTTCGGCTCCAAAGCCTTCCTCTCTTGCCCCACCAGCAGCAGACTTGGCAGCAAGAGGAGGCCGGCGCCCCTCGGCCTCGGCGTCCGATGCATGGCGGTGGCAGCGGAGGCCGAGACCAACAAGAGGAGTGGCTTCCAGATTCAGACGCTGACAGGCTGGCTGCTGAAGCAGGAACAAGCGGGTGTAATTGATGCCGAGCTTACCATTGTGATATCAAGCATTTCCATGGCTTGCAAGCAGATTGCGGCTCTTGTGCAGAGAGCAAGTATCTCCAACTTGACTGGAGTTCAAGGTGCTGTCAATGTCCAAGGAGAAGACCAGAAGAAACTTGATGTTGTCTCTAATGAGGTCTGCTTATATATATGGACTCTTTTATTACACACACACATATACGTATGTATGTATATCAGGAAAAACATTATGCATGCAGCGGAAATTACATTTTTTTTCAACTTTAGAGCTTCAATGCTAATACATTTTAGAACAGTGTTATAGCGCATCAGTGGTGCTGACAACCACCCATTAAAAAAATACGGATCATTTAGAGACTCATAAATTGGACCCGTCTTTTATAATTGATGGTGTCTCTAAGCATTTTTTTACATTTTAAACTCAATTACAAGAGACACGACAATGCTAGGACCCACATACATCGGCAATTTTTTAATATCTAAAAACAGGGAATTTATTTAGGATATATTTCTTTCAAGTGTCATTGCCCTTTTAATGATGGAAAATTAAATGTGAAGGCTAAGGTAAAGAAGGTATAAAACAGAGAGAAATGTGCTACTTGGAAAATTGGGGTTGAGCGGTCAAAAACCAATGAAATATGTCCGAGTATGAGTGTTTAATTTTGTATTTATAGGTGTTCTCCAATTGCCTGAGATCAAGTGGAAGAACAGGGATTATAGCATCTGAGGAGGAGGACGTACCAGTGGCTGTTGAGGAGAGTTACTCAGGCAACTACATAGTTGTGTTTGACCCGCTTGATGGTTCATCCAACATTGACGCTGCAGTTTCAACTGGATCAATCTTTGGAATATACAGCCCTAATGATGAGTGTCTCGCTGACATTGGCGACGATGCAACAGTAAGTCTATTTCTTTTTCTCGTTGTCGTTTTCTTTTTCCCCTTATATATGACGAAAAGGAGCAACTAACGTCAGAATAAACTAAGACATCCCAATTAGATTAGCACCCTTAAATCTTTTCTCCTGCGTCAAGCCCTAACTCAAATTTTTTGTTTCACCTTCTCGCTCTCACGTATCTTTTTCTTGTAACAAGTAGTGAATTTGGCTCAAACCTAAGACCAACGAAGGCGGGGAGAACACAAAATCCACTAGAATCCTTAGTTTTCATTTCATTCATTATGTTTAGCTAAGAAAACTCAAAACATTCAAAAACATTATTTATAGGCTCCGCTCATTTCACCGATTCGAGTTTAGAATTTGAGTTTTGCTACAGTAAAAATTTCTTAAAAACAGTAACATCTAACTTTTTTGTTATAGTTAAAAAACTCTTACATAAAGTCACATCTTAATTCGAATTAAAAACTCAAATCAGCGAACTAAACGGGCCCTAAGTACACGTCACAAATGTTTATAGATTGCATACCAACTTCATGGTTTGAGGAAATTATATCATGTGTTGGGCCTTTAATTCAAAGGATACACATTGTGGTCTTGTCAGCTTGACACAACAGTACAAAGGTGTGTCGTGAACGTGTGCCAGCCGGGAAGCAACCTGCTCGCCGCGGGCTACTGCATGTACTCGAGCTCGGTGATCTTCGTCCTCACAATCGGGAAAGGAGTTTTTGCCTTTGCATTGGACCCGATGTACGGCGAATTCGTCTTGACACAGGAAAACGTCCAGATTCCAAAGGCGGGAAAGATTTACGCATTCAATGAAGGGAACTACCAGCTCTGGGATGACAAGCTGAAGAAGTACATTGATGATCTCAAGGACCCTGGCCCCAGTGGAAAGCCCTACTCGGCCAGATACATAGGAAGTTTGGTTGGGGACTTTCATCGAACACTTTTGTATGGCGGGATTTACGGGTACCCGAGAGACAAAAAGAGCAAGAATGGAAAGCTCAGGCTCTTGTATGAGTGTGCTCCAATGAGCTTTATAGTGGAACAGGCCGGTGGGAAAGGATCAGATGGGTACCAGAGAATACTCGACATTCAACCAGCTGAAGTGAGTAGAAAATACAAGAGACATTTTTATCAGTTTTAGCAGTTTTTGCTTGGTGATTTTGACTAAGAGATTTTGTTTTATTATTATTATTATTATTATTATTTTGACAGATCCATCAGCGAGTTCCGCTTTACATTGGAAGCCAGGAAGAAGTGGAGAAACTGGAGAAGTATTTAGCTTGATTTGAAAGTGATAAGATGCAAAGAGAAAGAATAGTAGTTTTGTTGATATTGTATTGAAATTTTTGCACTGAATTAGAATAAAACAAGTCTACTTCTTACCTGTATCTTATTCTTTTGTTACTATACTAGTTTTATAATTCGTATTAAAAATACCTAAAAATTTTATTGTTTACCGAGAAATGCATTTATACAACTATTTAAGGATTTTTGAATTTATTTTTTAAAAAAATATATATGTAAAGATAAAAATTAATAATAATAAAAAATAAAAAAAAACTTAAGTAAGGATATATTTAGAGAAAAAAACTTAAATTGACAGAAAAATGAGAGATAGTCGGCTGTAGAAAGTGTGAGGAAGAAAAATAAATGAAACTGTAGAAGAAGTAAATTTAGAAAAGTACAATTTATTTTAGGATTAATCTTGTCACACTTTGTCTCCTAATCTTTAAAACTTAAAATCTTTTTTCTTAAACAATGAAATGTTAACAAAAAAAACCTCTTTCCGTTAGGTTTTTAACTAAAATTGATATTTAATTTTTGTAATTAATCCTTTATTTTAAAATGAAAATTGTGGATATGCTATAATCTATCAACATTTAAAAAAGATGTTATTTACTTTATTAGTATGTATTAAAAATAAGCATATGACCCAAATTAAAATAGAAATATCGTGGATGACGTTTTGTTAAGAAAAATAACCTAAATAAATAGATGGAGGAGGAAACCTACACTATAGTATGTACTAATTGAGTCACGTGTGAAGAATAATTTTATGAGTTTAAAATCACGTCAAAACACGTAGTTTTCTTACAAACTAAGTCCATCAATTGGAGTAAAAGGAAAAAAAATATCTGAAAAAAAAATCACATAAAAAAAGAATCAAAGTTATATAAGAGTTTTGACAGACAAAAAACACTTAAGTAATGAGATATTTTAAAAGAATTATGTTAATTAAAAGAAAGTATTTAAAAAATGATATTGTAAAAAAAATAAACTTTGAAAGAATATTAGAGAAAAATAAAAAAAAATAAAAAAGACAATAGGTAAAAGAAAAGAAAAATTTTTAAAAAGGAAAAAAAAATAAAAATAAACTGTATAGGAGGAGCTTTAACTTTTAAGCCAAAAAAAAAAAAAAAAAAAAAAAAAAAAGAAGGGGGGGTTTTTAATTTAAAAAAAAAAAAAAAAAAAAAAAAAAAAAAAAAAAAAGCAACCAGAAACTAAAAGTGAAGAGAATAAAAAAAGTAAAAAATAAAAACAAAACGTGAAAGAATAAATTAGAGGTTGGCACAAAACTAAAGGAGAAGTAAGCTCTTTTCGTTCTTTTATGTATGTTTAGATATATGCAGAGTCGTATAATTTGTTGGATGCTTGGCAAAGTCTGAAGTGGGATACTATAATTAAAGTTTTTATGACGTAAAATACGGATAATAAAAATATACATAACAAAAAAAAATAAAAAACTTTGACATAGAGATTTAAAAAGAGTATATATTAAGTGGTAGAAAACATATCCTAATGGTAATTGCATACCTGATTACACTATAAGATGAGTTTGAATTCCTCACACTTTTTCTTTTTTGAAAACATAAGTATACATTGATAGTAGTTTAAGCCAAAGAGTTACATGTAATCATATAAATACATGAAACATTTTAAATTATAAGATAACGTAATAAAAACAAAGGAGTTGAAACTTGCAGGAAAAATAATACACTTGAAACTCATCTTTTAAACTACCATGGGATGAGCATAAATATGAGATAACAAAATAATAATAAAAAAAGAGTTAAATCTTAAACCTAAACCTAACACTCATTTTGGACTATCATAGAGTTGTAAGTTTGGGCCATACTAAACGGGCCGGAACAAGACCCACTACTGTTACCTCAGGCCCGACCCGGCCCGGTACTAAATTTTTTGAGCATAAGCTCGGGTTGGACCGACCCTCTCTCCTTTAGGGTTGGACTAGGCCGGCCCAAACATCATACTTTTAAAGATTTTTTTAAAAAGTACCTTATGAAATTTCAGGCTGGGCTAAGCCCTTCTTTTTTAGGTCCCGCCAGTCCCAGCCTGAAATTTCTCTTTGAGTTGTCAGGCGGGGCTGAGCGGCTCAAACTTACACCTTTAAATTATCATAAGATAAACAATAGTCATTTATCTACTCTTATATATATATATATATAGGATTTAAGATTTATGATAGGATTAGGATTTAACACGTATGGAAACTAAAAGAAAAAATAATAGTTAAAAGAAGAAAAAAAAGCCCCAAAAAAAAATAAAGGAATTAAAAGAAAAGGAAAGAAAAAAGAAGCAAAAAAATAGGGGAAAAATAGAAAGGGGGACTAATCAAAATGGTGCATAAATGCAGTGTAGCTCTCTTCTTTTATATATTTAGGATTTAAGATTTAGAATTTAAGATTAGAATATGATAGGACTTAGGATTTAAAATTTTAGATAGCATTTAGGATTAGGACAAAATAGAATTAAGGATTAGAATTACAATAAAAGTAAGAAAGGATAACATATGAAATTTTAAATGCTTAAAAAGAAAAGGAAAAAGAAAAAGAAAAAAAATCAAATATTCAAAATGATTCGTTTTGAACGACAATATATGAACAATGGGGCATTGATTGCTCTTTTATATATGTAGGATGTAAGATATGTGTACACAAAAAAGTTTGATATCTTTTTTTTAATGAATAATATATTCTAAAACCTAAAAAGACAATACAAACACCAACTCATACACGTAATTTTTATTATAGGGAACATGACACTAACAGATAATGAGTTTCACCAATCAGTAAACTCGAATGAAGTTCATGGGACTCCATAAACAGATTTTACCAAAAACGATATACTAAAATCTACTACACTCTACGCATATGACTCTTTAATAAATTCTTTACAATTAATTAAAAATTTTGATCAACCAATATTGAGATGCCTATAACACGAAGGCTACACAAAAATAAAAATAAAAATTTAAAAAAAAAAAACATATTTTGCATACGAAAAGACAACTAAATACTAAACAAACAAAACAGTAACCCTAAAAAAAGCAAGGTAAAAACAATCATTTCTACAAACTAAATGTGTGTGTATATACAAATATATATATATATATATAGACACACACACACACAAGTCAGAACATCAAAATCTAAGAAGCACGAGTCCTCTTAACACTAGTTAAGCAAAATGGCAAAAAAAAAAAAGATAAGTTTATTTAAAACAAAAAAAAAACCACTACTTCATTCAAAACCTAATTGAAATTCTAATTCTCGAGTTTCAATTTTGGCCTTCATTGACAAAACTCTACATTTTCATAACTCTACATTTCAATTTAGAGAAACATACCCAAGTGGCGGCGATAAAAGATGACGTATGCACCATAAAACCACTCAATGCTTCTTCGAGACCAAAATCTCTACAGGATAAGTCAAGGCGAAAACTAAAGCGCCTAAAAATGTCTTGTGATCAACAATGACCACCTATTTTACCTTAGATTTAATCCAGCAATCATCATCCTCGACAGATCGTGCAAACACCACCCTAAAATCAGCATCTGATGACAAGCTTATAGAAAAATTTAATATCTAATATAATATTGTTCTAAAAATAAATAAATACACTTTGCCTCTGAAGCTTTGCATCGACTCCATGAACTAAAAAAAAATTATTAATTACGCTTACTTATAAAAAAAGAAAATTATTAATATATTAATCAAGAATTCAAATACTGTTTACCACTCACCAAAAAAAAAAAAAATCTTTATTTCGTCTGTAAAAGTAAAACATAAAACCTCTATCAGAGCTACACCTTGTTTACAACAATTTCTTTGCTCCTTTGTTTTTAGTCGATATAGCATAAACAAACATTAAACCTTCGTTTATGGTCTACTAGTAATATATTAATTATTTAATAAGTAATAATTAATTACTAACTATTAATTCCGTAATATATATATATATATATGTGTGTGCGCATATATAAATACGTATCAATTATTTTTGTAGTTAATACATATGCAAAAACATAATCAAGCAAAATTTCACTTTTTATGCTAAAACAAATCTTTAATAAAAACAAAACAACCGGAATTTAAAAAATGATACGAGTACCATTCTTTAAGAAGTTCTCATTTACATTTTCTTATTCAAAACACAACCATTTTGAAACTCCTAATTAAGCCAAGTTTGGATAGCTTAAGAATCTTTTTTTTTTTTTTTTTTTTTAAGGGGTCGAAATGGGAAATGGTTTAAAGTTTAGGATGTATACTGAATTTAACTTTAAGTCGTGAAAAGCTTTATAAAAATTTTATAAAACTCACACGCACTAATTAGAAAAAAAAAAAGGTGGCAAGCAAATTACAATCACACAACTGTCTGTTACTGGCGTAGATAAGCCGGGAAACACAAAAACAGAAAGTCAGAAGAAGATTTGTGAGAGTGAGAGACGAAAATGGTCCGTACAATTACATCTTCGTCTTCTCATCTCCTCTTCTCCGCCTCTCTTTGTTCCAATTCCCGTCTCTGTCCTCTCCATCTCCGCCGCTACCAACCGCGCACCAGCGCCAGATCCGGCGCCGCGCGACTCCGAGCAGTGAGCTCGGCGGAGACTCAGACGGCGAAGTCCAAAATCAGAGGAAAGGAAAAGGAGAAGGAGCAGTATTTCCAAGTCCAAAACCTAACGACATGGCTGTTGAGGCAAGAGCAAAGCGGACAAATCGACGCGGAGCTCACGATCGTCCTCTCCAGCATCTCCCTGGCCTGCAAGCAGATCGCCTCGCTGCTTCAGAGATCGAGCATTACTAATCTCACCGGCGCTCACGGCACCATTAATGTCCAAGGCGAAGATCAGAAGAAGCTTGACGTTATCTCCAACGAGGTCAGCAAATTTATGTGTAGCGTATCATATACTTAGATGAATATTTATATATATATATATATATTTATGTATGTATGTATGTAGTAAAATTCTTTCATCGCTCTATAAATTTGGTTATTTTGTTTGTTTTTCAAGTGTACTTGAAAAGAAAATATTTAGCTAAATTCTTGTATTAGCTTAATTGATATGCATATGTTCTCTAAAATATGCATATTTCGTCACTAAATCAAATGTTAATTTCAGCTTTCATGACGTACTAACTATAGCATTACAAGAGTAAGTGGTCTTTAGTTGGGATTCCTGAATTATACGTGAATTCGTTTTGATTACGGCTTGTTTGACACCATGACCTACTCGTTTAAGTTATGAGAATTAGTAAACTAACAAAGTGGACATATATGTGAGTCAATCAAACAACAATTTGAGCTCAATTGTGTTAATTCTTGAATTTTTTTAAACAGTTGTTCTGCAGCTGCCTGAGGTCCAGTGGTCGGACAGGGATAATAGCATCGGAGGAGGAAGATATACCTGTTGCAGTGGAAGAGACTTACTCAGGAAACTACATCGTGGTGTTTGATCCAATTGATGGCTCTGCCAACATCGACACCGCCTTAACTACAGGCTCCATCTTTGGCATATATGGCCCAGATAAGCAATGCCTCGTCGACCTTGATGATGACACAATGGTAATATTCCTCTAATTTGAACTTTTTATACATATGCATAGAGAGATCAAAGAAAAAGCAGTCGTTGTAGAACCCAACTTCTGCCATACCCTCATTACTTGTGGTTTTCAATTCAAGCACATTGAAACAGAGGAAACTCTTGCGGTTGAATGTCTCAGAAGAAAGTGTTCAAATTCCATTCAAGGTCAGAAAGTTGCTTTGGTAAATAATTTGGTCCAGCAGCAAACTCAAATAGAATTACATTTCCGCAGTGGGAAGGAGTCATTTTGCCAAATTTTTATACCTTGTCATTACATAGGACCCGCTCTTTTCTCAACTTGAGTTAGAAAACTGAGTTGGAAAGTAAATTTTTTTTTTTTTTTTTTTGTGAGAGAAAATACTGTAACAAAAGGTTTGAGTTGTGAAAAGAACGGAATTATGATGCTTCAATTTTTACCATCTTCTCTAAACTGAAACAACACAGCTAGATCAAGCAGCAGAGAGGTGTGTCGTCAGCGTTTGCCAGCCAGGTAGCAACTTGTTGGCTGCTGGCTATTGCCTGTATTCAAGCGCAATAGTATTCACTCTGTCTATAGGGAAGGGGGTGTTTGCATTCACCTTGGACCCCACTTATGGGGAATTTGTTTTGACACATGAAAACATTCAGATACCCAAAACGGGTAAAATTTATTCATTCAATGAAGGAAATTATGACCTATGGGATGACAAACTGAAGAACTACCTTGACCATCTGAGGCAGCCAGGTGCAGATGGAAAGCCGTATTCTGGCCGTTATATAGGCTGCCTAGTTGGTGAAATCCACAGAACGTTGCTAAGAGGCGGTATCTATGGAAATCCCAACAACAAGAAGAGCAAAAATGGGAATCTAAGGCTATTGTATGAGTGTGCACCAATGAGCTATTTAGTCGAGCAAGCTGGTGGAAAGGCAACAGACGGTCGCCAGGGAATACTTGAGATTACTCCAACAGAGGTAATGGAAAGGGTCTCAATCTTAGATAACGTTTTAACTGCTATTTACTTTGGTAACATTAGGCAACTTGAGAATGTTGGAAATTTGCAACCTAGTCCTAATAGTAGTCGATAATTTTAGAAAAGGATTTAAGGGATCTCTTCATTTTTCTTTGGCAGGTCCACCAGCGCACACCAATTTTTATTGGAAGCCCAGAGGAAGTAGACAAATTACAGAAGTACTTGGCCTAAGAAAAATTTCTAATTCAGTTCTGGTTTTCATGCAACTACGTTTGATCATTTTGCTTCATTTTTTCACTCAAGAATTCTTTCAAGGAATTATGCTTTTGCATTCAATTGTAACATATAAACTCTCATATTCCAAAGCTCAAGAGATACCATGCCCAGTTAAGCAATATAAGCCGTGTAATTGTAGAGAATGGAGTGGCATAAAATACAACATTTACAGCGGTCAGACTGCTTTGGGGCCTCAATCAAATCAAATGATAATAGAGAATAGAGATGAAATGAATCATAAATTATCATTTAATCTTGAAGAATGTGAGTAGAGACATGCTATACCAAAACCAATATAGCTCCTGCCAATTGTTGCTTAGAATAGTTAGCTTATTTACATATTTTCTGTTAAGTACAGGTACCATTGCATCCTAAGAGTTATGTCAAATTCCAGTCAATTTGTTGGAGAACATGTCTGATCCAGAGGACTCCCTCGATTTTTCACTGCACCACCAAAAGCACGCAAACAAACCATTTTAGACCTTCAATTATGATGGAGAAAAGCATAACAAAAGACAAATTGAGTGGGATTATACCAGGGCTTATAATTTTGATGCATCTTGTTACAGATTTGACTGCTGTCAGAGAGTCTGAGCCTGCAACTGTCAAAATTTTAGTCCTCTAACTATTTAATGTAAAATAATAATAATAATAATAATAATAATAATAGAAATGTATAGCTAGAAAGGACCATTCTCACCACCTTGCACACTGGTGTCTTTCTGTGCAAGTACTTCAGTCACAGTTGATGAGAATTCTGACATAAGTTGGTTAGCTCCCATATCACCATCCATTGATTCAGGGGATGAACTATAACATGGCGTACAGAGAAGAATATCAGACAAGAGAATTGAATTGCAAAATACTAATAAAATAATGAGACCATAGGAAAAGGCAGCAACTGAAACAAGACAAGTACCCTGCAGCAGTGTCCTTAGACGCGTCTATGGCTGGATGGCAAGAATATCCCACTTCTTCACATTCAAAATCAAAATCGCGTAACATATCACTGAAAGAGATCGAATCTAAATTGGACAAATCAATGTCAAAAAGGTCTAGTTCCTTCTCAGACTCGGATGTTGAAATCTGATCGGCCATTGGTTGGTCCGAGTTCACATCAGAGCCATCGAAATCTAGCCTTCCTTTTACATGATCCCTCTTAGCCTGCCTCTTCAAGTTTGTCTTGACTGGGGAGGAAGTGGAAACACAGTGGTTCCTTTCCATGGAGTAAGCTATCTGTTTGAATGGGCTCACTGTCACTCTTTTGGATGAAATTACAGTGCATCGCGTTGTGGTGAGCCCTTCAGGAGTATTATCATTACTGTAGTTAGTAGTGGAAAAAAACTCAAGAGGAGATATGGATTTATCACTTTGAGAGGAGTTTGCTCTTGGAGGTGTTGCGGGAACAGAAGTATTTGCTGAAATGGGCATTGAAGGCTGGTTGAACAGACACTTTGCCACGCTGGATCCATTTTGCAAAGACCCACCAACAGAATTGTTGGGTGACGAATCGGATGGAAAGGAGGGCTGGGCACTTTCTTGAATATGAGCTGCATCAAATGATTGTAAATTTAGGGACAAAGATACGAGAAGATAATAAAAGAAACATAAAAAGGAACAGAAACGATATCAGAACTTGCAAGGAATATTTACCTTTGTCCGCAAACGTTCTCGTAGAAGATTTGTTACGAGATCTCTTAGCCACTGGTGGAGCATCTGAAACAACTTTAGAGTCTTTCCTCTTGTTAATTGCGAGTGGATAACTTGTCATTGGCGACGAGAAATTTGTAAGTTGAGTATTGATGTTGGAAGGAGTTGAAACTGAATGAACAATAGGACCTTTGTACGCAGGCAAACCTGATGTATATGGCAAAAAAAAAAAAACGAACATTCAGTAAGGCCATCAATTAAACTGTCATAATTTGTAAATGGAAGGAACACAAATCATGCAAATTTTATGCATTCGCATAATCCAAACTTATTGTTCATGTTGTTGCTTTTGCATGACTGTCAATTAGTTCAGACAAAAGGCATAGATTGTTAACTCGGCCCAAATTAACCGTGCAACTGCATAACAATTAACCAAGAAAAACTGAAATTTCAAACATAGCAGGCTTGCACAAACCCAATGAACTTGTCATTTCTAGCTTTGGAACCAATAATATGACGAACGGAAAATAGGCATTTTGGGTTTGTGGGTAACATTATCAAATGCCCATGTGAACTCCTGGAATTAAGGTGATTGGTAAATACTACACCTGCAGGGGATCCAGTAAACGGCTGCGACTGAGGAAGCGTAACTGCCGGATTCATTGCAACCGTAGGAACGGGAGGTGCAGGGGGGCTTCCGCTGGCATTGTAAGCGTTCATGGCGTTCTGAAAACTCTGCAACAGCGTCTGTACCCGAGATTTTTCCTGCTCCAATCTCATCTTTTCTTGATCCACCATAACTTTTTGTTCTTTCAAACATATATAATCGTTCAAAATCGCCCCTAGACTCAGCAAGCTCTTCGGCGCCTGTCAAAATGATTTTTCTCTTAGTCCCCTTTACTATTTCACTTTAAATCGAATAAGAAAAAATTAAAAATTAAAAAAAAAAAGTGTATAAGAAGATAAATCAAAACTAGTTGGCAAATTTGAGATTCCATATCACAAAGCCCCAATCTTGTAATTAGGTCAACAGATCACATTTTCTCAGTCGCCAAACAAAATAGAAAAATACCAAATCAGGCGCACATGTTGTGGAATTTCACTTACCTCTTGAGAGGAGGATTTGGAGAGGAGAGAAGAAGCTTCGGTTCTGAATAGAGAGCGAGTTTCGGAGAAATTATTGTCGGAGAGATACCGATCGACGAGGAAGGCGACTTGGGTCGGAGTTACATTCCCTTTTCCGAAATTCTCCGCCTTCTTGTTGGCTTTGTTAGATTGCTTCCCCATTGTTCCTTTGTTTTCTTCAGAGACAAAAGAAAAGAAAATAGTTTGTAGAGTGCTTGTTTTCTTCAGAGACAAAACAAAAGAAAATACTTCGTAGAGAGCTGGAGATGATTGGTATTCTCAGAGAGGACTTAGAAATCTGAATCTGAAGAAGAAAATAAGAAAAAAAAAAAAAAAAAAAAAAAAAAAAAAAAAAAAAAAAAAAGAGAGTCAGATCTCAAAGGAAAAGAGGAAAAATGGCGGGGAAGGGCAAGAGGGAAATGCATAAAAGAGAGGGAGGGAACGAGCTGGGAGGGGGAAAAACGCGGGAGGTTTTTGAAAATATTTGGAGGAAAAATCATTTCGTTGTTTACTTGTTTTTAGCTGTTACCCGTTTTGTTTGTGCTTTTAAGTTTTAACCATTTTGGGCTTTATGGGCTCGAGTTTAAAAAGTTGATGAAGTATTTAGGAAAATAAGAATTTTTAAAAAAATTAGAGAAAATTATAAAATTTATTCTTAAGAATGTATGAGTCTGGAATTTTAACTCTCATTCTTAATTAATACCCTTTCATTACTATAGTTATTTGACTAAAACGGTTATTAATTAAGAGAAAGTGATAGAAATACTGACTCATATACTTTTAAGAGGTATTTGTCTCATTTTCTCTTATAAATAATCCACTTTTATACTCCATATTTAGAATTTGTTTTCTATTTAATAATATTATCAATATTTACATTTTATAGTTATTGAGATAATATTACTTCAACTCTTTTGTATAGGTGGTTACAGGTGAACTTGAGATCCAAGGAGTTCTCGGGTTGTTAATAAGTTATTAATTTTATTAAACGAATATATAAATAAAAGGGTTTTTGAATAATTAACTAAACTAAATAAAATAAAATAAAATAAACTTGTAATAAATAAATAAGAAAACAAAATATATAATAAAACAATGGTCAAATGATCAATCTCCACCATTAGAGAATGAAATCATAATGAATATGTAATATTATCACCAATTTCCTATCAAAACTATCAACCGTAAATAGCAATAAGCTATGTTGCTCCAATCTTTTTTTAGTTTGTCGTTAAACAAAACAAGCTCTTCACTTAATCCATTTTTCCCAAACAACCTAGAATAAGCTTTCTAGATTTAATTCAAATGAAGAATTACGATGAGAAAGATAGGTTGATCTAAGCAATAAACACGCACGATGAGAAAGATAAGTTGATCTAAGCAATAAACACACAGGCTCGAAATATTTAGAAGACGTTTGGTAAGAGGATTCATACCATGATTTAAATCATGGTTCGCTACAGTGTTTTTTCTCACAAAAAATATACGTAAATCGAAAATGGTAATCTTATGATTTTAATCCATGAACCAAACATCTCCTTAACATAATTCATGTTCTTTATGCAATTATACGAAAGCTTGACTACAATCAATAATCACAATTGCTACTAATGATTAGGAAATCAAGACAATTACATATTAAGACTCCTAATATAGCAATAGAAAATTCTCAAGTCTCATATGGTTACGTACCTAAATAAAATAAGAAAATAATAATGAAAATATTTATGGAATAACATAGACACAACCCCAACCCCAGATTTTAACCTAGACCACCTCCTAACCCTAACCCTATTTGAGGAAGATAACAATAGTTTGAGCACAATTCCATGAGATTAAGGTCCCGTTCATTTCACCGATTCGAGTTTTCAGTTTTAGGTTTCTACAGTAAAAAGTTCTCAGAAAATGTCACATCTAACTTTTTCTACTACAATGAAAAGCTCTCAAAAAATGTCACATCTCAATTCAAATTGAAAACTTGAATCTGCGAAATGAACGAGACCTAAGAATACCATTTTTGGTATAGGGAACATCAAAGCTCCGGGTTCGAATAAAATGCCGGGAATTTTTTACAAGTCTTATTAGAGTTTGGTGGGCCCGGACCTTGTGTCGCTAGTGAGAGACTTTTTTTCTAATAGGCCATATGCACCCCACGCTTAATTTCACCAACATAGCCCTCATCCTAAAAATCTTGAATTTTGGTTTCGTTCACTTCGCATATTTGAGTTTTCAATTCGAGTTGAGATGTGATATTTTTTTAGAATTTTTTACTATAGCAAAAAAAATTAAATATAATATTTTTTAAAAATTTTTAACTATAAAAACTTATAATTAAAAACTCAAATTAGTAAAATAAACGAAATCCTTTAACCTTAACCACTACCAAGCTCAAGCTCCTCCTAGTAACCATTGTTTTTCTTCCTCAACTTTGTCGACGACTAGGCGAAGAAGATAACTGTGGTATCGAAAAAAAAAAAACAAAAAAACAAAACAAAACAAAAATTTAGTTGGGCCTATCCATGTGATGGTTTGCCGTTAGAGGAAAACCTTTGTGAGGAGATATGTAATCTCTTCCCAACAAGATTATTGACAATGAGGCCGTTCTCCAAGATCTACAGACGATGGAGTTCTTGTCAAAGAGATGCTCAACAACGTAGTTGCGCAGTAGATCCGTCGTCCAGAGCGTGAATGTTTGTGTCAATAGGAATAGTGATTTCAGGGGTCAACGTTGATAAGAAAAGACGACGACTGAAGAAGAGATAAAAAAATGGAGGAAGAAAGAATGAGAAGCCCTAAGTGTTTGTTTAAATATCAAAGGGTAAAAATGTCTATACAACTAATTTGTTTAGGATTATTTTCATAAATATTCTCAAATTTTATATCTTGTTTTAAATGTGTTTGAATTTTTTAAAACAATTCAAAACATCTTCTGATTTATAAAAAATAAATCAAATTATTTTTTTCATGTATAAACCTAACAGATTGTTGATGTAGCATATCATTAAAGATGTAAAAAAGAATTTTAAAACATAATAATTTAGAAACGTAAAAATTCAAACCAGAGGAAAAAAAATTGAAATCTCTCCCTATTGTGCATTTCAACTTCTGAAAATCCAGACCTTCACTCTTCCCCCGTCTAGCCACTTCGGCAACCCACTTGTCGCCGCCCAACGACCCCTGTTGGCCGTCCCCCCACGCTCCCCATTGTTGCCCCTCAACCCGCGTGCCCTTCGCTCGCCCTTTACCCTGCTTGCCTCTTGAGCGGGATCTACCACCATCGGAGGTGCAGATCTCGACGATGTTGGTCAAGATCTGATCGCATCTCTTTTTAATTTGGATTTGATTTCTTGTTTTGGTCTACGCATTTTTTTCTTTTTGATTTGAGTTTTTGGTCTTGGTGTTTTGTTTGTGAGTTTGAATATGAGCTTGAATTTGGGTTTGATCTTGTCTTTTTGAGTTTTAGGGCCTGTTTAGTTTGCCGATTCGAGTTGAGATGTGACTTTATGTAAGAGCTTTTTACTGTAGCAAAAAATTTAGATATGACTGTTTCTGAGAACTTTTTACTGTAGCAAAACTCAAATTCTAAACTCGAATCGGTGAAATGAACGAGACATTGTTTTCAAGAAATTTCAACAGGGTTTGATTTTTTTTTCCTCCTGTACATTTCGATAGGATTTAAAGTGGAGTTTGATCGTGTTTTTTGTTTTTATTTTTTTAATCAATCTGATATATATATTTTTTATATTTTTCTATTTTTTTTGTATGCTTTTAATCACTCTTTAAATTTTATTTGATTTGTGTGGTTTTATATTAAGGTTAATAGGTTTTTTTATGAATAATTAAGGTTTATATTTTAAAACGTTTTTCCTACACTTTTAATGGTTTGCCACATCAAAATTTCGTTAAAATTATATGAAGAATTAGGCAGAGGGAGTAATTTGATTTATTTTCTATGTATATTAAGGAATGTTTTGAATCGTTTTAAAAAATTAAGAGTACTTTAAAACAAAATATATAGTTAGAGATATTTATAAAAATAATATATTTTTAATCGTAATGATAGATTTAATGAGAGTTTTTCATTCCATGGTAAAATTAATCACCTCCCTTTTTTTTATGACACACGCCTAAATAGAGCAATAAATTTGGGCCGCTCGAGTTGGCGACTTGAATAGTAAAATTAGGTTAGGGTTGGTTGGTCTACTCTCTTTTTCAAGCCGCGCTTGAAGAAAGTTGGAACAACCCAACTCCCAAAATATGGTAGTTTAAGATCAGGGCTGGACCAATCTAAAATTTAAAAGACTCAGTTCAAATAGACTCTCGAATCTATATGAAAGTATTTTCATGAAATGATCATTTTTATCCTTCATGTTTTGGATACGTCTTTAAATTCAAGAGAAAATTACATATCTTATCTTTTTAAGTACTTGATTTATTAAAAGTACATATTTTAAAAAAAACTCTACCTCTTAACTAGTTCTAATATAGAAGGCAGAAATATATAGGCTAATGTTAAGGGGTAGAAAAAAAGAGGACTCCATTTTAAGAAGCATTTTTAAAAATTACGTTAATTCAAGTTATCAGTCTGTCCATTTTAAATTATCAAGGAGTTGGGTTTCGAGCCACTCTAAACTGGTAGCCTTAAGCGTATTGTCTAAAAAAGAAAAAATTAGTCAAGTCACTCTTTGAATACATTGTTTTAAGATTTTTAGCCTTTATTATTTATTAATGCACTTTTAATTAATATAGTTTTTTAACTAAAAATTATTAATCAAGAGTAAAGATTGAAAATTATTAATTATTAATTAAGAGTAAAGAGTGAAAATTTAATACTCATTGGGTACGTTTAGAATTCGTTCTAAAATGATTTTATTTTTGTATGAAAATAGAAATGAAAACATTTGCAATCTCAAACAGAAATCATTTTTAAAAATGCGTTTGGCAGTTTTATCAAGAGATTATTTTCAGTATAAAAAAACTCATTAATATCTCTTTCTCTCTCTCTGCTCGAGAGAACAAAAACAAAAAATAAAAAACGACTAAAAGTCATTTTTTAATTTCTCTCTCATTTTACACTAAACTAAAAAATCATTTTTATTTTTATTTTTATCTTTAATTATGTCAAACACCATTTTAGAATCGTTTTTTATTTTTTCATTCTCACAAAACGTAAAACATAAAAATAAGAATAATTTTACACACGATAATTATCTTTAAAAGGTATTTATCTTCTTTTTACCTTAAAAAAAAAAGGGAAAAAAATGCCCGAGCCCATGACAACGGCAATCATCCAAGGGCACGAGCGATGGAGCACAGTAAGAAGGACGACTTATCCAAACATCTAGCTGTATGTAAATTACCCACGTACAAAATAAAATAAAAAAGGCGTCGTCTTGCTCGTTCTCTCGGATCACCAACGACAACAATTAACAAACACAGCACAGAAAAATCCTCTGCAAAAAAAGATGGCACAAGGGCTTCTTCTATGGAGTCCTTGCCATTTCCATTCCCAGTCCCTTCGCTTCCTTCCATTCACATCCCACAGAACTCCCAGAAACACTCCGCCACTCTCACTGTCCATCTCTGCGACTCTTGAATCCGCAAGCGATACCGCCCAAGAGCTCAGCGCCAGAGAGAGAAGACGTCTCAGAAACGAGAGGAGAGAGAGCAAAGCCGGCACCAACTGGAGGGAGAAAGTGGAGGAGAGGCTTCTGAAGAAGCCCAAGAAGAGATACGCCTCTTGGACGGAGGAGCTCAACCTCGATAAACTCGCCAATCTGGGCACACAGTGGTGGGTCGTCCGGGTTTCTCGGGTCAGGCAACAGGAGAGTGCTGAACTCATCGCTCGTTTGCTCGCTAGGAACTTTCCTCTCGTCCCCTTTAAGGTTTTGTCTTCGAATTCCCAATTTCTTTTGCTTTCTGGGTTTGTTATCAAATTCGATTTCTTTTTCATCAATGGCGGATTTGTACTTGCTAATAATAAGCATACGACAATTCGAATTAAACTTTGTTTAAATTGAACTTTTACATGAAATTGAACACCAACGATAACAATTGGAATTCATTGCTTCTTTGCTACTAACCTTCCCCACGTCCCTTTTAAGGTTATTTAATTTTTACTCATATGTTTTACGGGTTGTTCTTTTAAAAAAAAAATTTAAACTCAATTTATAACGTTATTTCTTTTATAAATTTTGAATTTAAACTTAAATTTGGAATTAAATTCAAATTCAAGTTTTTTTTTTAACTCAAATTTATAAACTCAAATTTAAGTTAATTAACAATATATATATTTTTTTTAAAAATATCATAATTTTTTCATTTTAATTCTGATTAAGATGATTTTTTATGCATTTATAATGAAAAAACAAATAAAATTTCACCCATATACCTTATTAAAATTTTTTATCACTATTAAGTTTTTATTAAAATATTATTTAAATATAAATTTAAGTTTTGACCCACCCAAACACAAAGTCAAATAGATTCTCAATTTAAATTATAACTCAAATGTACACATCCATACACAAACTTAAGTTACAACTTCAACTCAAGTTATAACTTAAATTCAACTCAAGATCATCACTCATGTCACCCTAACTTAAAAATGCAAAAGAACAACCCCTTACTTTTCTAGATTCGTTTTCAAATTCAGTTTCATTGTTATGAATCACAGATGGTGTAGAGTGTTGTAAGCTAGTAGACCTATAAAGTTCGTTATTTAAATTTGGGTGATTTTATATGCTTAAAATTCAATGTAATAAAATGGAATTGTGATGACAACTATTGGAACTCTTTCCTTGTTTGCTAGCTAATAACTTCCCTCACCTTCCTTTTAACGCTGCTGAAATTTTGGGTTTGTTCTTGAGATCAGTTTCGTTGTAATCACAAATTATAGAATATACATATACTTCAGATTTGTAAGTAGTCATGATTTAAATCTGGGTGATTTCATAATCTTTAATTCATTGCACTAAGAGAAATAAATTGTGGTGCTAAATTTATTATTAGTATTTTTTTAATTTTGTTTGCATGCCGCAATTAGAATAGTGGGTTTGATAAGGACGGTTTGCATTTCACATGAGAAGTCATCCTGGACTGAACTGGAATCCATTTTGGCTTTCGTTTTGTGAGGCTGAGTGCTGTTCTCTATTATTATTATTTGTTTGTTCAAATGAACCTGTATTAGTATGAGGATTTGGATTGAGAAAGTAGTAAGCCAGTGGGCAATTGTTAGCCTTCATAAACACACGATAAGTTTGCGTGCGATTATAAAAATAAAAATAACACACACAATGTGAAGAGTATGTCACTTCAGCAAATGGCATGTTCTGTGACCTAAATGCTTATAGTCGATGATTCATGAAACCATCCGCAATGAAGTGAAATAAGTTTAAGTAACAGTGCGTTCAGGCTCTTTTTCTAGGACTGGCTATCGAGTACTGAAGAACTTTGGCTCAAATTTACAAGCACAAATTACTTTTTGTTTCTGAAGCGCCTGATGAAGTAACTCTTATATTAGACAGATAGATAAATAGCCTATTGAGGCCAAAGTTATATATTCTGATTGTTGTATGGCATGGTGGGTCATTTTCATTCAAATTTGCAACCTGCTTGTAGATTCTGATACTGATAATTCTAAAAGCCATATACTTTGACTTATTATCTTATTGTTATTTTTCAGGTGTATGTTCCTGCTGTCCAGGTGAAGAGAAGATTGAAAAATGGCTCTATTTCAGTGAAACCAAAGTATCTATTTCCAGGGAGTGTCTTCTTAAATTGTGTAATGAACAAGGAGATCCATGACTTCATAAGAGAGTGCGATGGAGTTGGAGGATTTGTTGGTTCCAAGGTTGGAAATACGTGAGTATTTATTTCTTGTGATTAATCTTCCCTTTTGAATTCATCACGACAGTTAACTATAATGACATTCTGTCATGTTTAATGCCGCCTTATATTTGAAAGAAAGCAAAAGCATCAGTAGTCTGGTATTTTACAAATGTTATGTGTTGCCGAATTCTGAGTTAACTGTGTAATTATAAGAATTAAACTCTGCCCACCCTAGTGGTTTTACTTGAAGACATAAAACATAGTTATTTAAAGCCATGGTATGGAGAAAACCAAGTTAGTTAATCTCAAGAGTTAACCTGATTGATAATGAGGTACTATAACTACTTTCTTTATCAAATTTTGTGACAGCATATGACACAATTTTTAGATTCTCTTTGGCAAGGGATATTATGTAGTTGCTAATGTCGAAGCTATCTTGAAGTGAGTGTACTGTTCGCATACTATAAAAATTTTCTACTTTTTACTATTCTTAAAAGAAAAATATCTTTTGATATGCACAGAAAAAGACAGATCAACAAGCCTAGGCCAGTAGACGAGATTGATATGGAAGCAATTTTCAAACAAGCAAAAGAAGAGCAAAAAAAACATGAAAAAGAGTTTGAGGAAGAGCAAAAACAAGAAGGGACACTCGTCTCTGGAAAGTCCAATGTGGAGGAGGCTCAGTTGGATTCCAATGGTGCTGCAAATTCTAGTATGGATTCGAAACCAAAACGACGATCTATAAAGAATGGCCCCAAGCTTGCTCCAGGTTCTACTGTCCGAGTTGTATCTGGGACTTTTTCAGAATTTGAAGGAAGTCTTAAAAAGGTCAATCGCAAATTAGGAAAGGTTAGTGATGCAGTACTTCAAGTTAAGGGAAGACAGGAAAAGAAAACTGTTTTCCAAGTCTAACATATTAATTTAATGCCAAAGCTGAAATTCAATTACAATAAGATCTACTTATATTGGTAGTCCTATATACTAAAGTAACCCCTTGAGATTTAAAAAATATGGATCAAGTAACAATAATTATACTAAGGAACCTTGGAGTGGGACTCAGAAGGATAGAAAATGAATAAATAGCCCGATACATATTTTGCACCTTTTGAGGTTTATAAGAAACCCCTTCCCACCCATACTCAAAACAAGTACAGAGGCTATCACTACTATACCCATCACTTTGCTATATATATTTTTTTTCAAGTACATATATATCACACACATACTGATGGAGTTTAGATTAGGGATATTCTAATATTTAAATTTGATCTTAGGATCATGTTTATTTATTTTATTATTTTTAAATTTATTTATGTTTATCTACTCTTGTGATTCTTCTTCTCTTCTTGATTCTATTTCTCCCTCATAGTCTGTTCTTCTCTCACTAATTCTCTATCTATTCTCTAATTCTACATGGTCCTACATCACATACCCATGGGGGTGTTGATTGGAATGGTCATTTCTTTGGCTTTGCTCCCACAAACTGGGGTTCAAACAACCTCAGGGGCACCTGCATGACAAAAGTAGTTTTATGCCCCTAAAGATTGTAGGGTTTGGTGGAAGGCTTCATTTTTTAACTCTAGCTCACAAAGTGAGTTCCGGTGATTTTTGGGTATAAAAAAATCAAAAAAATACATATACATATATCACACACATTATTCAACTTCGAAGAGGTCACTCCGAGAATAACATGCCCGCATGCAATTTGCACAATCTAAAAGGCTGTAATGCCTTGACACTAAAAGTTTATATGACCAAAACTCTTTGTGCTTATGTCTTAACTGAGATTAATGTTGAAAATTTGGTGTTGTTTCAGGCAACCGTGGGATTTACAATATTTGGGAAAGAGAGCTTAGTAGATCTAGATCTCAATGAAATTATTGTGGAGACAAAGTGATGTAAATATGTTTCGTTGAAATCATTATTGATTGGTAAGCACCCTTGCTTTCATCTCCTTGCTAGATATTTCTTGCTTCTTTTTACATGGAAATGTGGCGCTTTACAAGTATTAGCATGTTTTCTAATTAAGTAGATCAATACCTCAATATTAGTAAGGGACTAAAAGTATATTCACTAGTTCCTGATGTAGGTTCTCATGTGTATAAGCGGTTGACAATACAAGCACTTGTGGAGCATAAATATAAATCTATCACTAACTTAACTGAATCTTAATGCAAGTTTATAGGAATTGAGGTCTATACAGTCCAGTGGACTTCCAGTCTCTAAAGTCCAAAGACTTGTAAATGTTCTTCATCATATTCTTGGACCTTTTTTTGATAATTAATATTCTTGGACCTTTATGCATGTCAAGTTTCACCCACTTTCTCTTCCATTTGCCGCCGTTTATGCTTCTGCATTATTTGAAACCAAACCAGAATTTTACAGAAGCATAAAAGGCATATGGACGTGAACGTGGATGAAATTTGACTTGCATAAGACTATGAGCGCTACAATGTAATTATCAATCTTGGCGTTCCTCCTTGTAGTTGATTTTAAGCTTTTCGGTCGGTTGATAATCTCACTTTGCTCTTATTGTTTTGGGCTTCACTTGGCTGCCAAAAGCGTAGTAGCTTTGACAGAGAGAAGGCTTATGTTATGGCCACATTTACGTTGTTTTTGGATGCAAAATAAGTACCTGTTTACATGCAGCGGAAATTGGTCTTTTGACTGAACAGGGGTGATCCATCAACATTTTGTTTCCAATTCCATTTAAGGTATTTTAGGATTCTAATGGAATGTTTACTTATTTGTAATTGGAGTGGATATGAATCGGAGTGGACAGGAATCGGAGTCAGAATAAACTATTTACTTAGGTTTTAGGAATCAGAGTCGAAATTAGTCATAATCTCATTTATGCGTTTACTTACACTCAGAATTGGAATAAATTGTTATAAATTTACTTATTTATTCTTTTAGTAGATTTTTGTATGTTGAACTTAAAAAAAAAAGAAATTGTATATTATGCTAACTATCTTAATATTAAGATAATTAATTAGTAACTAGATTTTTTTAATCACACATAATCACACCTAGATTTTTTTTAATTAGTAATTATAAATTGTAATGGTCTGGATCTCCATGAATCCTTGAAATGATGTTGTGCAATCAAGAGGTAAAACATGGTTTGATCACAGATTCAACAAATAAACACAAAAAAAATAAAAATAAAAAAATAAACTTGCGATTCAATAAAAAAGAACCGCAGTGATTTATGTTATGGACTCACCTTGAAGAAAAGAGGGATGCTTTTGGTTGATGTGGATGCAATGTTGTGTTTTGAGAAGAAAATATCAAAGGAAGTGAGGAAAGGAGATACGAGAGGCGTGAAAATAAATTATAGCATTTTCAATTTTTTACTTTTTACTGTTCTATTTACAAATTTGTTAGTAGAATTAAGGGTAAAATCATAATTTACATTTACTATTAGGATTGGGAGTGCTAATCTGGTGGGGGTGGGAGGAGTGTCAATTGCATTCCTCAACCTTAAATTGGTGTGAGACCCACACATTTGCACTCTTATTTCAAGATAAAAATGGGTAAGTAAACATGAGGTTGATTTCAATTTTTAATTCTCATTCCCCACTCCTAGTAAGTAAATATGTCATCAACTTAATCATGCTTACCAGTTACCATTCAATGGAAGAAGGAGAAGATAAGTGATCGAAAATCGAAATGGGAAAGGCAGGACTGCATTTCTTTCAACTTGGGCTAACTCATCTCATTCCTTGGTTTGCTATCTGATGTAAAAGCATTGATCTTTTCAGTGTTTTCTTACTTTGATAAAATTAAAGGTTGTCTCCATTGGAGGAGAATATTTTTTGTTATATAAATTAAGGTTTTCTAGGTTTGTTGGTTGTATATAAAGTTAACGCAATAAATTTAAATAATGCAAAAAAAAAAAAAAAAAATGGTAGGCCGAGGCTGTATTGGCTAGGCAGAAGTAAAGCAAGGTTTTAGATCTTTGACCACTAAAACGCTATCTCCTTTCTTAGAAAATGCGTTTTACAGTTTTGGATTTGCCCCTAAGACAATGCCTTTTTTTATTTTATTTTATTTTTTTATAGATGAAAATTCTCGAAGTAGCTTTGTCCTTACTGCTATTTGCTTCTTCTTGTTTAGCTGGTTTTGGTTAAGGTGCCGTGTTGTTCAAAGCTGCATCCGCATACTAAACCTTAAAAATGGAACATAATGCTTTTTATTTATTTTTGATACAGAGAAGTGGATTTTGGAACTATAGAGACCTTAATACTAACACTGTAATTTTATTCACTGTTTAAACAATAATAATAATATATTATGTTGATGTAGTCCATGTGTCAGTCAAACAGTAAATGTAGAAAGTAATAAAAAGATAGCATATGCTAGCATTTCTCAAACATTAATTTCATTTAACAAAAAAAACAGCACTTTTTTCTTAAGGACTTCATCATAAGTAAACAACACCTTTTTTTTTTGGTTGAAATTAACATTGTTAACAACAATAGTAATGTAACGTGCTATAGAATTTTGACACTATTAAGGTTCCGTTCATTTCACCGATTTGAGTTTTACTATAGTAAAAAGCTCTTAGAAACAATTACATTTAATTTTTTGCTACAGTAAAAAACTTTTATATAAAGTCACATCTAAACTCAAATTAAAAATTTAAATCAGCAAACTAAACATGTCCTAACTAATCTCATGACATGAGATATGATGGCTTTCAAGCTGGTATGAAAAATTGAATTTGCTCTCTCTTTAGTTTATGCTTCTTAAATAATTAAGAAGATTATGTTTATGGACCCTAGGTAAGATTTAAGTCGGTAATTAATTACCCATTTGCAGTAAACCAATCAGATTTTGGAAAAACACCAAACAAGCGTGCGTGCAGTGCACCACACTCACACACTGCTTGCTTGCTTGTTGACTATGGAGTTAAAGTTAATGCAGAGAGAATCTTTGTAATCTTTTTAAGCATAGCCGACCAGAGTCTTTGAGAACTTAAATAGGTTATACCATTTTATTCTTTTTAGATAGTTACCAAATGACTCATTGGTTCTCTTATTTATTTATTTATTTCTTTATTCATCAATATTTAAATTGGTAGCAATAAATAGCATTTGCCCCTACTCAGCCTAATGGTGGTCCAAACAATATTCAAGGCATACCAATTAAATGTCCCAGCAAGTTCAATAAAGGTCTTCCGAGTACTACACAGAAAAATCATCTTTACTCTTGAGCAATAAATGGAAAGAATAACTACGTTTGGTTCACAGATTTAGAATCATGATTCAGAATTATTCTCATTTTATGTGTGTTTTTTGTGAGAGAAAAATACTGGAGAGATCCATGAATCGTGATTCAGAATAATTGACGAATACAATAAATAAAAAATAAGGGTTCTTCTACCAGGTACATTTCTTAAGGCCTGTTTAGGAGAGCTTCCTAAAAGCTGTTTTTGGCTTTTTTTATTCTCAAAACTGCTTCTAAAAATGTTTAGATGATTTATCAAAAGTGCTTTGACTTTTTAGAAGAGTTTTCAGTTAAAACTAGAAATTGTGACTTCTAAAAAAAGCACTTTTAAATAGACTTTAAAACTTGTACCAGAGTTTAATTAAGACATTATAAACTTAATTCTAACATTTTTATTGCTTATTAGAAAATTTAAAAATCATCTTGACACATTAAGCTCTTTATTTCAAACACTTACTGAAAAGTCACAGTTTTTGCTTCTCTTCTACTGGCTAAAAGCAAAAGCAAAAGCTCTGCTAAATGGACCCTAATTGTTAGATCACGTCAAAATAAAAAATGTATAACAAAGACAGTTTTTAACACAAATTTAATGACTAAATAACCGAGTCTTAAGAGTAGTTTGTTTTCCGGATCCTACCATAGAAATCTCTAAAAGAATAAAATGTTATTCTTTTCTTTGTTTTACATGATGGCACACGCCATTGGAATATGGATATTCTGGGTTCTCTCGTCTTATGATGTTCAAAGATAGATAAACAAACCAGCTGTTATAAAATATGGCTCTTTCTTAAACTGAGCAGTTAAACTTCTATAGGTCAGGCATTTCCATGTGTTTAGGTATTAGCACATGAAAGTTACAAACACCAAGCATGTATACTTCTTCATGAACCAAAATAGTTCTAATTCATATACTATGGCTATGAAGGGTAGTTATCACTTGTTTTTCCTTCTCATATTATATATATATATATATATATGTATATACACATATATATTAGACAATAGAGATGCTTCAAGTATGGCTAGGCTATCTTGTGATGCACATCTTCCACCCATAAAAGGCAAAACGAAACAGATCAGAAGAATACCAATAGTATGCTTTCAAACTTGTGTTAATAAACCAAAAGAAGCTTGTTTGTGACCAGCATTTGAATTTTGTCTTATGTTATGAAAATTTGCTTGTGGAGATGGAGAACAGATAAGTATGGAATCTTTATAAGAAGCAAAAGGCCAACAACAAACATAAGTACTCTTTCTTCTTTTCACTTCTTTTTTACACCACTTAACAGATCACAAGTTAATAGAAGTTTCAGAGATTAAAAGCCATTTGGGGTCCATTGCATTCACATTAGAAATAGAGAGGCAGGTGAGAAACTACCCAATGGGTTGTCACTTGTTTACCCAAAAGTGGGTGGGACCCACATCCCGGAATGGTTGAGATTGTATCACGAATCATACCCCTTGAAGAGATATCTCGTTCACCTCGCGGATTCGAGTTTTCAATTCGAGTTGAGATGTGCTATTTTTTGAGAGCTTTTCACTGTAGTAGAAAAAGTTAGATGTGATATTTTTTAAAAATTTTTTACTGTAAAAATCTAAAATTGAAAACTCGAATCAATAAAATAAACGAGGTCATTCATCAATGTTTTATTGGTAATGCTCGTTCAATCAATGCAACAGCAGAGAACACAGGCATATGCAAGGCTGAGTCCTATATTAATTAGATTTTCAAAGTGCTGGTCGCATTGAATAATACCAACGCAAAACCCTTTTGTATTTATTGCTCTTCAATGGCACCCTCTGTTTTAGTTAGAATCAACAGGACATGCTCTTTACTCGAGACGTACACATGCATGTTGGCATTCGATCAATCTCACTCCCAAATCCTCCATTGCAAACGAACTACGGCCACCAACCAGATGTTTCATAGCCTTTTCTTTTACAACATAGACCTCGCCAATATGGAGGAAAGACTTTATCTGATAAACCTCTTTATCAACACTATCAGCTGATCGTTTAATGTAGTTAAAATTATATCAGATTAAAAATATATACGTAATAAATAATTTTTAATACAGATATGAAGGTTGAAAAGTAAAAACTATTGATAATTCTTCTTTTCTTTTAATCATACCAGAGAAACTCCATATGAAGAATGTACCTTCAAGCTAACAAAACCTACATTATATTTGTTATGAAAGAAAGAAAAATCCAAAATTATATTTTGAAAATTCTTAGGTAGGGTATGAAAAAAAAAACTATTGGCGAGAAACAATTAATCTTTCCTTTATCAAGTTAAACTATCTTCTTTTTTATTATTTTGAATCATTTTGATTATAATCTAAGTCAAAGTTATATCTTATCGACTTTATCATAAAATTATTATTATTTTTTAAGAGTTTTTCTTGTAAGATAGAAAGAATGAACTACTTGTAGTTCTCTATTTTCTAACCGTCAAATTTGTATCAAAAATTGACTGTTTTGTATACTTTTTCCATCTCATATGATTTAAACAGATCAAACGGTGCCAGAAAAGTCCCTTTTTTAGGAGATTTTTTGATATGCTGATGTACCGATAGATCAGATTTTTTTAACCATAAAATCTGTGTATTTTTTGAATTTTATGTATTTTATGCGGATCTAGCAGTTAGAAAACTTAACCTATTAATATGTTAGCGCACGAGAGAAAATCTTGTTTTTTTTTTTTTAGCAATAATATTGTGGACTACTTCTTTTACAAATGTAGCCATTGAGTCATATTTTGACACCCACTGCTCTAGTTTGATGTTAACCGTTGGACATATTCAGAATTGAGCTCAGAACTACCAAACCTCTTTTACATTTTTATCACTAAGCTAGAAGCCTACAACTAATGAAATTACTTGGTGTAATATGTTGCATTTCTTTCCCTTTTTTTTCTTAACTTGGTGTATGCATTTCTGGTCTAATTTTTGAACGAATAAAATTTACTATAAATTATTCTACCGAGAAGCATGCGTTCTATACTTTTTTTTTTTTTTTTTTGGGTGAAAAGGGTTTCGCTAAAGTAGACAACAGGCTATGTTTGGTTTTTGTCAAACAGTTGCTGGCCTGCACGACCAACACTATGGTCCCCTAACGAAATCCTCTTGTTTTCTCAATTATCTCTATCATCCTCATCCCAAACCCAACTCCACAAACCTTTTTTGAAAACAAAAATAAGGAGCTATTTTAGGATTAGAAAAAATAAACTATAAATAATTTTGTATTTTCAGGGCCCGTTTAGTTTACTGATTCGAATTTTTAATTCGAATTGAGATGTGATTTTATGTGAGAACTTTTTACTGTAATAAAATTCAAATTTTAAACTCGAATCGGTAAAATAAACGTGGCCATAATTGTTAAATTTATATTAAAAAAATATTTATTTTGTATACTCTTTTAATTTTATGTTATTTTAACTAAATTTAATGATCATAAATTGACACCGTAGATAAAACTATTTTATAAGAGAAATTCATGAATAATTTACCAAAAAAAAAATAAAGTGAAAAGGGCACTACATAGTGGGAATCCCATCTAAAAGATTAAAAAAAAAAAAAAAAAAACTGCACTCTTTACCTATTTTGCACAGCTGTCATTCTTGAGCCAAAAGTGATTAGATTAGAGTGGATGAACATTTTTGGTAGTCACTCTATCATTGCTCTAATTTTAAGGCTCTGGTTGGACACCTGTAAGTTCTCTGCAAAGAGCTCGTTTGGTTGGAAGATTCGTTCTTTGATTCTCTGATTCGAATTATGGTTCATGATTTGTTACAGTATTTTCTCTCATAAAAAATACACGTAAATTAAAAATAGTTCTAATTTATGAATCAAACGGGCTCTTAATAAAATTTATGAATGCCCTCCCGAGGTTTAACTTATTTGCATTCATATCCTATCATGAATTATATGATGTACCTTTATTGAAATGTTTTCACCAACATTACCAACCACTTTCTTTTATTGCCAACTCCTCTTTATTACCTCTTAACTTGTCACGGCCTCTCCAACTGTAATTTCCTTCAACTCTGTTAAAACTGGTGGATATTTCATGGTAAATTCATATTAAAATCATATCATTTTATACAAAAAAAAATGAATAATAATATTTTAGAATTTGATGAAGATCTAACCGTCCATAATTGTGATACTCATATTTTTCTATACCCTGTCAAAGATTTTCCCTTTTTTTTTTTTTTTTTTTTTTTCTTTTGAAACCGTCCACTCATATTGTTTTTGTTTCTAGACGTGTTTTACATGTTCACATGATCATGCTCAATAGTTCCTCGACAAAGAGCTAATGATATCAAACATAAAACTGTTGGTCTCCATACCCAAGTTTCGTGTGTCCATACCCCAAGTTTTTGTTTCCCCCAAAATAATTGTTGTACATGCCTAAGCTTCACGTGTTATATGCAAGTAAAAAGAAAAGGAAAAAAATAATTCCTTAAATAAGGAATTGTTAGTACTTGAGAATTTAATTTAACCTAGTAACCTATCTACCAACCAAACTTATGTTTAGTGTTATTTTAAAGAAAAATCTTATATAACATGGATAATTTTATTTTGAAAAAAAAAATTATTTGTTATAGAATAAAAAAAATGATAGGTTGTGAATCATTATTTATAGTAATTTTGAATAGCAAAAACAGTTTTGTAAAAGCAAACTATGGCCTACTTATAAAATTCTTACTAGTGGACAATAGTTCTTAGAATTTGTTGAAGAAAAAATAGGATTTACCAAACTTTTTTTGTTTTTTTGAAAAATGAAGCAATTGACTAACCACCTTTTTGTTGTTGTTGTAAATTTTAAGAACCTAAAAGCAATCTCCAAAATAATGCCAAACGGCAAACAGGTCTTTAACAGAGAGTGCTTCTCCAATATCACCTTAGTTATTTGTTGACAAGTGAAACACAAATGCTAATAATTATTACAATCTTATGAAATTACACGGCGACTTGATAGCATAGTAAAATCTTTGCTTCAACAAAGAGGGATTTTTCAATAGTATGAGGTCTACTTTCACTTTGTAGTTAATGAATTAAATAAAATAAAAAAAGAGGGAAAATTTTTAAAGAGTGTAAAAATATATTACTAGTGAAATATAATTTTGAATTATCATATCACATTTGAGTCATATTGAAATGAACGAAGATTAAAATATGATAATTAAAAGTGGTGTCTTACTTGTAACGTATTTTCACATTCCTCAAAAATTCTCAGAATAAATTAAAAAAAGAGGGAAAAATGTAGATGGCATATAAAATGAAAAGGAAGCTCACCATATAATTAAGTGGAGATATTCATGAATTCTCCCTTAAAACAAACAAATAAGAATTGTGGTATTCATCAATTAAAAAAAAAAAAAAAAAAAAAAAAAAAAAAAAAAAGGGGTTTTTAAAAAATAAAAAAAAAAAAAAAAAAAAAAAAAAAAAAACTAGTGGTATTCATGAATCTAGAAAGCAAGGGTACATATGACAATATAGAAAAGTACAAGTACATAGTAGCAAAAACTCTTTATTATATTTCCCACTCAGCAACCACTGGGAGAAAGTGAATGAATAGAAAGGATTTTTTTTTTTTTTTTTTTTTTTTTTTTTTTTTTTTTTTTTTTTTGCAGAACCGAAGTGGACGTATTTAATTTTCACAACCTCCAAGCCAACCTCCCCAAATATTCTTTACTTTCTTCCCAATGCTCTCTCTTTTCTCTTTTTTCTCTCAAACCCTAAGACATTAAAATTTCACCTTCAGAAGAATATATGCAAATGGGGTTCTTGCTAAAACTCTAAGTAAAGAGATCTTCCCACTTACCACAAAACCCAGATTCAGCTCCAACCCATTTCTAGCCATGGCTGCATTATCCATTTCCAGTAACTTTTCAGCTTTTTTTCTCATCACCATTTTCTTCTATGGAACTTCTTCTGCGGGCTCAACTTCCTCATTTTCCTTCCCACAGTTTGCTAAAGATCTTAAATTTGAGTCCCGCGTTGCTTTCTATGGAGATTCAAAGGTCGTCAATGGCGGGTCTGCCGTTCAACTCACAAGTTCCGGGAGAGTCATCTATAAGAAACCCATTAAGCTTGTTGAAGGTAAGCCTCAGAAATTGGTCTCCTTTTCGACCAACTTTTCATTCTCTCTTTCCCAAGGAGATGGGAATGGTTTGGCCTTTGTTATGCTTCCAAGTGATTTTGATGTCAACAAGTTCTATAATGGCTCATTTGGGCATGTCCCAATGGGATTGGAAAAGGGCAAATTTAAGATTGTTAAAGTTAAGTTTAGTACTGTGAATGATGTTAAGAATAATGGTTTGGTGAAAATACATGCGGGAATTGATGTGGATGGTTTGGTACCAACAAAAGTGAGAAATGCTTCAACCATAGATTTGGCTCTAAATAATGGGAAAAAGTCATATGCTTGGGTTGACTATGAAGCTGGCTCAAAAAGATTGGAAGTTCGGTTGAGCCAGTCTGGTTATGTCAAACCATCTGACCCTTTATTTTGGTACCCAATTGACTTGTCCAGAATGTGGGGAAATGAGGAAGCTTTGGTGGGTTTCTTTAGTTTTTCAAATTCAAGCTCTTCTCAATCGTGTTTAATCTACTCTTGGAGCTTTTTGCAAAGACATGTTCCCCAATGGATGCATTCTGAGCCGTTGGATCCAAAGGCCTTTGGTGAGAACTCAAAGCCTGTCAAAGGTGAGAAGAGGAAAGATTGCTTTACTAAAGTTCTTGCTTCTTTGATTTTTGGGGTTGCTTGTGGAGCTTTAATGGCGTTCACAGTGTTGTATTTGTGGACCATATTTGGTACTAAACGTCCTGTAGTGCCAGAAGAGTATGTTGGGAAACCTGTGGATTTTGAGTACGAGAAAGTCAAAGTAGTTGTAGATAATAAGACCATCGAAGATGGTAAGCAGTAGAGATGGATGTCTGGTGATGGGAGAGATCTATTATTTATTATGCTTTTTTTTTTTTTGGTGCTGTAAATCACTGTCTCTTTTTCTTTTTTCTCTTCTTTCTCCTTGTATTATGATCTGGTTTTGTTGTTGCATTGACTCGTTGTAATCTGAAAATGAATATGTCAAGAATGTAGCAGTAGGTTTTGTTGAATAGTCTCCTATGTTTGGAGCACTTGGATTCCACTTTGAACTGAAGAAATGAAATATTCTATGTGTTTAATCCTCTACTTCAATTAGAACCTTGTGATAATTTCTTGAACCGCTTATGGTTTTCTTAATGTCCCTCTAGTAAGTGGTCCCCTCCGCCTAACATGTAGATATGAAAAAACATAACATAACAACTATTGAATGTAATATTAATATTGGAGAGGTACAACATAGTTTTTAAAGAAGTGTAACATTAACATTGACACTGTTGGAGAGATTTAATACTAAAGTATGTAGTCGTCTAGAGACTATTTTACACTTTTAATATTAATGGTACGTTTAATAACTGTCATGTTACGTTTTTTATATCTATATGTTATCTAATATTAAGAAATAATTACACAGAATGCCTACTTTTAAAGCCTTCAATCTAAAAATACCCACCTATATACAATATTACAAAAATGTCTATTTCTATATAATAAGACACATCTAATGTCGGATATACCCTATTTGTTATTTTAACCGTGTTCCTTGTATGGTTATTTTTTTTCATTACATAGGCTGATTTTTCTAATAATATATTACTTTTGGACTTTCATTGTATGGTTTTTTCATTATAATTCAATATTTTCCATAATGATGCGTCACTAAGATAATGAAAATAGGTGTTTTTTTATTTGTTTTTTGTTTATGAGAGGTTTTTCATAATATTTACCATATTTTTACATTTTTTTAACATAATAATTTCGTGCATTTTGATTGTTTCGGATTCTTTGCAAACTTTGTATGGATTCGTTTTTCATAATGATATAATCATTAAGATAATGAAAATGCGACTTTTTATTTGATGTTTTATTTGCTGTAGCTTATTTTGTGCAGACTTATTTGGTTTTTATTTAAAAAAAAATTAAGTAGGTGTTTTTTTATTTGTTTAAAAAAAATTTCTATTTCTTGAAATAATTAGATTTCATTAAATTTAATTGTTTGATTTTTTGTATTTAAATCTAAATATTCATTATGTTATCTTTTCTATTTTGTTGATTTATTAGTTTTTTCTCTTTTTTCATTAGGTAAGGATATAAACGTCTTTATATGTATGACAGTAGGTATTTTTATAAATAAAATAACAAGTTGGTATTTTTAGATTCAAAATGCTCTAAATAAACATTTTTGTAAACAACCCTTAAGAATCCTTAACCCTTCATGTTAATCACTAGAGGCGGCTGCAGAAAAAGCTACTAGGCCGTTTAGTTCGTTGATTTGAGTTTTTAATTTAAGTTGAAATGTGATTTTATGTGAGTTTTTTACTGTAAAAAAAAAAGTTAGATGTGACTGTTTCTAAGAGTTTTTTTTTTTTTTAATCAAAACTCGAATCGGTCCAATAAACGAGACTAATGTTTATTAACTTTTTTGAAAACAAAAGGTTTAATGAGACTTGTTTATGTTGCCTTGATTTTTATTTTTTTTTCTTTGTTAGTGACAGATACAAGTTACCAACCAAATTAATCAAGTCTTAACATAGCCGAATTAGTAGGACAGATGTTGCTGACACTTCAACCTTATAAACCTTCTTAGCTTTAACGTTTGAGATTCTACGAGCATGACTGCATCAATGCGGCAGAAAAAAAAATCTTATTGCTGAGTAAGTGGGTAACGAAAGAAAAAATCCTTCAATAAAATGAATAAATATAACGTCATAATTCTGCTCAATATTCTGGTTATTCAAATGAAAAAGGAGAATTTTTCATTATCGCGTTATCATTGAGAGTCTGGACAAGTTGAAAAGAGTACTTGTTTATGGAAAACGGTTGGTGGGGGATGAATGAAAAGAAGGGGAAAAAAAAAAAAACAACTTCAAAATTGCAAAATAGATTTGACTACAGTGAGTGTTTAGTAATTAATTAATTGTTGTAATTAATTAATAAAACCCATATTGACCAGCAATTTTTGATATTCGCAGAAAGACATGTCCAATGCACGATAAACGTGAAAAATCCACGAATGAAGGAAAACCTTGAAGATAATACTAGATCCAATCAACATAGTAGGAAGAAGAAATATTATACGACGATATAATAGGGAACAATCTTTCCACAATCCTACATTCTTTTGTCTTTTACATAGAAATATCACCAAACCAAAAAAGCAAACTTCAATTGAAATTACGGCCTAAAGCTACCGAAAACCATCCATCGCCTTGCCAGAGACCGGCAACTGGAAGTTGCGGTAATTTTCACATGAATTTTAACTTGATCAACTTCAGACTTCATGAGCTTCCTCCTCCTCTTCCTCGTCATAGTAATCATCCTCCTCAGCTGTAGCATCCTGGTACTGCTGGTACTCAGAAACAAGATCGTTCATGTTGCTTTCAGCCTCGGTGAACTCCATCTCATCCATGCCCTCCCCTGTGTACCAGTGCAAGAAAGCCTTCCTCCTGAACATAGCTGTGAACTGCTCACTCACACGGCGGAACATCTCCTGAATGGATGTGGAGTTCCCAATGAAAGTCGAAGCCATTTTCAAGCCAGTGGGTGGGATGTCACAGACAGTGGACTTAACATTGTTGGGAATCCACTCAACAAAGTAAGAGGAGTTCTTGTTCTGGACATTGATCATCTGCTCATCAACTTCCTTGGTGCTCATCTTTCCTCTGAACATGGCTGAAGCGGTGAGGTAACGTCCGTGCCGGGGGTCAGCAGCACACATCATGTTCTTCGCATCCCACATTTGCTGGGTAAGCTCAGGGACAGTGAGGGCTCTGTACTGCTGAGAACCACGGGAGGTAAGTGGGGCAAAACCCACCATGAAAAAGTGGAGACGGGGGAAGGGGATAAGATTGACAGCAAGCTTTCGAAGGTCAGAGTTGAGTTGTCCAGGAAATCTCAAACAGCATGTTACTCCAGACATAGTTGCAGAGATCAAGTGGTTAAGATCACCGACTGCACAAAAAATACCACAAGAATCAACAATCAAAATTAACAATCATAACCCTGGATGCAAGGACTAGTAAACTTCAAAAGAAGTCAAGAGCAACTAAGAACAAAATGTTTAAATCACTGACACAAATTCAAGAGCAAAAAATAAAGTCCCACAAGCAACAATAAAATGTCTTATATCACAAACACAAATTCAAAGACAGGTCCAACAAACAGATAAAATAAAATAAATAACAAACAAAGCTCAAAAGTTGTCAGAAACACCAAACCAAAGACCAAGATAGACAAACAAAGCAAAACAATCAACTGAAGATTAATCTGCACAAACTACTTACAACAAAAAGAAGCACATCTATTAATTTTCATCTGAATAAAAACCCTACTAATTTTTGCAGAAAGTAGTAATCAATTGCAAATTTTTGAATACACAAGTCCAACAATATACCACAAGCATCATTAATCAATAATAATTTGCATATGCTGCTAACAACAATAGGAGCGCATCTATCACTTTGGATCTGACTAAAATCCCCATCAATTTTTGAAGAAAGTCTTAATGCATTTCAGATAATTCAAAGACAGGTCCAACAAACAGATAAAATAAAATAAATAACAAACAAAGCTCAAAAGTTGTCAGAAACACCAAACCAAAGACCAAGATAGACAAACAAAGCAAAACAATCAACTGAAGATTAATCTGCACAAACTACTTACAACAAAAAGAAGCACATCTATTAATTTTCATCTGAATAAAAACCCTACTAATTTTTGCAGAAAGTAGTAATCAATTGCAAATTTTTGAATACACAAGTCCAACAATATACCACAAGCATCATTAATCAATAATAATTTGCATATGCTGCTAACAACAATAGGAGCGCATCTATCACTTTGGATCTGACTAAAATCCCCATCAATTTTTGAAGAGAGTAGAAATGCATTTCAGATTTCTGGATCAAGATAAATCAAAGCCACAACGCATATGCTATTCGAGATCTAAGGAGATTTTTAGGTTACACATTTCAGAATTCAAGTATCAAATGAACAAAGATCAGGATAGATATCTCTCATAAACAAAAACCCTAACCCTAGATCTGATTAATGTGAAAGCAAATACTTACAGCTTGGAGTGGTGAGTTTGAGTGTACGGAAGCAAATGTCGTAGAGAGCTTCATTGTCTAGAACCATGCACTCGTCTGCGTTCTCAACAAGTTGATGAACAGACAAGGTCGCATTATACGGCTCAACGACAGTGTCGGACACCTTCGGCGACGGGAACACCGAGAAAGTGAGCATCATCCGGTCAGGATATTCCTCTCGGATCTTGGAGATCAAGAGCGTACCCATACCAGATCCGGTTCCTCCTCCAAGAGAGTGACAAACCTGAAAACCTGAAAACCAAAAATCGAAACATCAGAAACCAAAACAACAACAAAAAAAAAAAAAAAAAAATCGACAGAGACATTTCGACAAACACCTTGAAGGCAATCGCAGTTCTCGGCCTCCTTACGAACGACATCGAGAACAGAGTCGATCAACTCGGCTCCCTCCGTGTAGTGACCCTTGGCCCAGTTGTTTCCAGCGCCGGATTGGCCGAAGACGAAGTTGTCAGGCCGGAAGATCTGGCCGTAGAGACCAGATCTGATGCTGTCCATGGTTCCAGGCTCCAGATCCATGAGAACAGCCCTGGGGACGAACCTTCCGCAACTGGCCTCGTTGTAGTAGACATTGATTCTCTCCAGTTGGAGTTCGGAGTCGCCATTATACTTCCCGGTGGAGTCGATGCCGTGCTCGGCGCAGACGACTTCCCAGAACTTGGCTCCGATCTGGTTGCCGCATTGGCCTCCCTGGATGTGAAGAATCTCACGCATTTTCTCTCTCGGATCTAGAGGAAACGAAGCTAGGGTTTCAGAGGAAAAATCACAGAGTATGAGAGAGAGAGAGAGAGAGAGAGAGAGAGAGAGAGAGAGTAAAGTGAAAATGAGGAAAATGAATTGGGGAAAAAGAGTGGGGACGGTGGGATCTTTTTTATAGAAAAGTGGGTTCAAACGGCTCTCGTGTTTTTCAAAATAGAGAGAGAGAGAGAGAGATATTTTGTTTATTTTATATTTTATTGTTTTTATTTTTGGGGTTTGAAAAATAGTGAAAATGCGGTGTGATGTAGAAACGGATGGAAGAAGAACGGTTAGATTTGGGCTGCAAAAGCGGAAGTTTTTCTTGTCACAACAATCTTTTGAAATTCAAATTTTCATTTTTGCGAGAGCCTGCTTAGCTGTAGTCTTGTACTGTACAGGTCACTGCGACCAATGATTCCAAAACAGCAACTCTGTAGGTGGTTTTCTTTTTTCTCTTCTTTTTCCTTTTTTTTTCTTTTTTGTTTCTTTCCCGACCAGAAATATTAAAAGTAGAAAAGGACGGAACAACCAGAAATATGGATAACTAGGCTGGCAGACAAAGGGGCAAACTCGTCTTTTCATCTTATTTTTAATATTTTCTTTTTACGTTTGAAAAATCTTCCAAACGGGGCTTCGGGGGTGGGCCCTGTGGGGTTTGTCTTTCTTGACTCTATTCCTCCCCCAACCTTTACCTTCTTTGCAGATTGGTCCTCAAAATTTTTATCCTTCCGCTAATGGGTTCTCAAAAATTTTCTTGCCATTTAGGGCATGTTTGGTAAGAGGAAGAGAGAGAGGGAGGGAGGGAGGGAGGGAGGGAGGGAGGAAAGGAGGGGGAGATGGAGGAAGAGAATCTCTTGTTTGTTTAGGTGATGTTTGGTAGAGAGATTCGTTTCTTAATTCGAATCATGATTCGTGGTTCGCTACAGTATTTTTTCTCACAAAAAATACACGTAAATAAAAAATAATTATAATCACATGGTTCTAATCCATAAACCAAACGGACTCTTAGTTAGAGGGAGAGAGGAGAGGTGGAGGTTAAGAAGAAAAGAGAGAACCTTTCTCTATTCGGGCCTATTATTTTACATCCCTTTTTTAATGGAAGGATTTATACAATCTACCTATTAAAAATTTAAAAATATCATTTTATTTTTAAAAATTTTAGTCTGAAATTGGTAGACAAAAAAGTAAAATAAAAATGTATTCATCCATCATTTTAGCTTTCCATCTTTCTTACCAAACAACATAAAAGATTACTATAATTCTCCCAGCTCCATTTAGCAGGAGGAACGGAGAGTAGGAAGGATTGAGAGAGTTGGAGGGATTGGGAGTAAGAAGGATGAAGAGAATTATAATAATACTTCGGGTGCGTTTGAAACTCATTTTAAAATGATTTTCTTTTTTGTATGAAAATGGAAATGAAAACATTTTCAATCTCATATAGAAATCATTTTTAAAAATGTGTTTAGTATTTTTATCAAGAGATAGTTTTCAGTATAAAAAATTCATTAATGTCTCTCTCTCTCTCTCTGCTCGAGAGAGGAGAAAATGAAAACAAAAAATGAAAATCATTTCTCTCCTATTTTACACTAAACCATAAAATCGTTTTCATTTCCATGTTTTGTCTTTAATTGTGCCAAAGGCTGTTTCTCTCCCGTTTTTATTTTTTCTCTCTCAAAAAACATGAAAACAAAACAAAAACAACTCCAAACACATCTTTCATGTTGTTTGGTATGAGTGAGGAGAGAAAATGATGGATGATAGTTGTTTGTCCAATTAATATATTGTCCATTTTATTTATTTGGTAATAATTTCTTTTAGGGGTAAAATAAACTTTTAGTTCTAAAATTGGTTGGATTATTCCATCAATGAAATGATCCAAATTGGTGAGCCCGGAGAGAGTCTCTCTCCCTCCATGTCTCCTCTCCCTTCTTTCATCCAACCAACCAAACAAGAGAATTGTTCTCTCCCCCCACCTCTTCTTCCGCCCCTCTCCCTCCCTCTATTTCTCCCTCTTACCAAACACACTATTAATCCCTAATCTCCTGTTTTATTTAATAATTTTATACCCAAATTCTTATTCTTTGTTTTATTTTTTTAAGGGGAATCTAAATTCTTATTTTAAGTCGTGCTTATTTCGCATAGCATACTTAGTGTAACGTTAATCCTACTGTGAAAAATTAGAGTAAATTGCTAATTCAGTCCCTCAATTATTGAGTAATTAATAATTTGATCCTCAAATATTTGTAAGGACATCTCCGGACTCTTAAAATGGTTAAAAAGTAATTAAAACTAACAATCGAGGTGTTTTTTTAAAACCGCGTAAACAACGTTCATTGCATGTGATCTATTAATAATTAAGGGCCCGTTCGGTTTGCTAATTCGAGTTTTTAATTTGAGTTGAGATGTGATGTTGCGTGAGAGCTTTTTACTGTAGCAAAAAAGTTAGATGTGATTGTTTCTGAGAGGTTTTTACTGCAGCAAAACTCAAATTCTAAACTCGAATCAGTGAAAAGAACGAGGCCTAAGATCGGACGTTTGGTTGATGGATTCAGAATCATTCTCGATTTACGTGTGTTTTTTGCGATAAAAAATACTGTAGCGAGCCACGAACCATAATTCGAACCATGACACGAATCCTTGAACTAAACGCACAAATTCGAATCACAACTCAAAATTTATTTTTCTTATAAAAATTCAATTTAATATTTTTGATACAATATTTTCTCTCGAGTAAATTTACTTTTAAACTCAAGTTCTTAACTAGCCTCAAGAAAAAAATAGACAATAATAAAATCCATTGAAAAGCAAAAAAAAAAAAAAGGAAAGGAATTAGAGTTAGTGGTTTTGTGGGGTTTCGTAAATGTGTTTTTCAAAGTTTCTCCATGAAGCTTTAGGAATCAAACCATATTGTCAAGTCGATCTCTTACTATCAGGGGTGAGCACGGTTAGAACAGTTATTCTCAACAATCTTTTACCAAACCATAAATTGTAGTTAAACTATGGTCGAAAAAAGGTAATTACACATAATCCGACACTAAACACAAAAGCATAAAAAGTTTTATCAGTTTTTACATCTAAGTGCATGGTTTCTTTTTTCCTTAGAAAAGCTGAGTTTATCTCACAAGGAAAAAAAAACCAATTAAATTAGTTGCACAAATGAACGTACTTATAATTGTATAACAATTATTTAAAAAATCACCGTAATAAAAAATACGAGGTGTGGTTTAATTAATCGTGATCTTAAAAATTATTAAAATCGTAAATCAAGTTAAACCGTACAGTTAAGTACTAATTAACTAAATTATGAAGTAAAAAGAATCACACCACGTCTCACGGTGTGTAGTGATTTAGGTGGTTTTATGGTTAGTCGGTTATTGTGTTCACCCCTACTTACTCTCAAACTCAATAAGAGCTTGCTTATTATGGCCTTGCCACCATTTTCATGGTCCTCACTCCTTAATACACTTTCCATCAATATAGGAAAACAGTTTTTTTTTTTTTTTTTTTTTTTTTTTTTTTCTATTTTGAAATCAATTCGTTCTTCATGGCCAAAACTAGGGACTGGATTTAGGTTTTTGTTTGATAGCATAGTAAATCGATTGAAATTTTATTGCGTTTTAGGCCCTTAGCAATGGTATGATGTTTAATGATGAATTGTTGTGAACCTTTGGAAAAATAAAATCGTTTTAGGGTTTATTTTGGTTTGTGTCATCATAGCGAAGGAATAGCAGACTTTTGGCTCCTATAGAGTGTACGGTCGGGCTAGGTTGCGCTCACAGACGGCATGATTTTGGCAAAGTGACGGCAGCAGACTCGCGATGGGGCGATAGAGTCGGCTCTCATGAGGGGTTGAAGGCGGCAAAGGGCCAAAGACAGTGACGATAAGTCGGCAACATCTTTTTCTTTAGTGTCATCTCTTTTTATTTTAACATTATTATGTGGTTATGTCAATAATCTTGGCCGAAAATTTATAATCAATGACCTTCTCTGTTCAAAATTTAAAGTCCGTTAATAACTTTAGTTCTTTGTTACAATTATAAGAGTTCTTTTACTTAAAAAATAAAACAAAGGTTCGAGTACTGAGTAGATACTTGTTAGTTTGGGAGCTAAATGAGCAATTTACCTAAACAATTTGTAGGAAACCACATAAAACTTATGTGGATGCATTTTGGTATAGTTTTAGTTGGTGGTGTGGGTATTGGTTGCTAGATTATTTGAGGAATTCTTTGGTAAAGTATCCTAACTCAATAATAGGAACAATTTTCAAAATAACTTATGAACTTTAACTATCATATCACATTTAATCATTCAATCCAATAGTTTGATTCTCAAGTTCACTCAGCCTATAATATGCAGTGCGTGTTCTACCTAAAATGCAGTCGAACTTCGTAGTTTGGTAATTCTCCAATAGTCATCTTGTTTATGTTTGGTAAGAGAGATGGAAAATATGATGAATAGAAAATGAGAACGATGGAAAAAAAATAATTTTTCCTTTAAAAAAAGTGACATCTAAATGTGTTTCTGCAACAGTTAAAAATTTTTAAAAAATATTACGTATCAATTTAAATTAAAAACTCAAATTTGACAAACAAACGGCCTCAATATTCCAACAAAACAAGTCACATGAGAAAGAAGAAATACTAGTCTTGAAACCAAATCAAAACATGTTATAAAGACATCCAGAGATCAGTAAAAAACTTTCACTTCCCAACATGCAATATAGTTGGATTTCAAAGGTGAACAACACATGCGAAAAAGATTTGACTTTTTTGCAATCACTGACGATATAAAAGAAAGAAACCAAAAAAAAAAAAAACCCCAAAATAAACTTTTAAAAAAGAAACACAACAACAGCAACAAAAAGAGTCCAGAACGATAATCAGATCTCAGTAACATATAGTCTTCTTCAATTCCTTGAAGGAAATTGCAGATAGATAACGCAGTATATTGTTAAACATCATCGATCCAACAAATTTGCCACAACCCAGCTGGGCAAACCAGCAAATAAACAAAAAAAATAAAAATAAAAATAACAACAACAATCAGAAAACAAAAAAGTTGGGAGCATCTCAGAAAAATTTTCCCCATGGGTTTCTTCACTAGCAATCAAAGTGCAAGGATAACAATAATAGGATATTCATCAGCGATGCTCATCGCAAATTAAAATATGCATCCATATATATACACACCTATATACATACATATATATATATATATATCTATCTATCTATATCAACAACAGTTTAGGGTTAGGGACAATGGTGGATAAATAGAGAACGGCGATATTGGCAATCCAAATTCCAAACCCCAATAATCCCAGATGCCCATAAGCCATGTCGGGTGAGAGGTGCTTAATTTTGTGTTGAATATATATGGGAAAAATGAATAAGCTTTACCCTAGTTATAGAACGTGAAGTGATTGGGCCGGATAGTATATGGCTTGCAACACCGCCAAGACCAAAGGTTTGAGAGGTCTCGGCCCAAGGTGACATGAGCCGGGAAAGACATAACCCATTTAAGGTCCGTTTAGTTTACTGTTCGAGTTGAGATGTTTACGTAATAATTTTTTATTGTAGTATAAAAGTTAGATATAACTGTTTTTAAGAGTTTTTTTTATTATAAGAAAACTCAAATTTTAAATTTAAATCGGTGAAATAAACGGGGCATTTATGAGGTAAAATCCAAAGTGGAGTGCAACTGTAACGTACAAAAATTAAGTATAATTTTCACACTAGAGAAACAAAGATGAGTAATTAGACTTTAAAAATAAACTCAATTTACACCCAATTTGAGGGTAATAATATATAGACAAGATAATTGAGGGAGTAGAGAAATACACTTTTAAAGAGATGGTCTTCAAATACATCACTTATGTGCAAAAATTTGAGCCTAATTTGGGTGAGTAGTAGATTAACATAAAAAATATCTAAAAATGAATGTTCAATTTATAAACCTTTACCATTTCAAATCATTTTAAAATTATCTGAAATCCTACGAATAATAACACTATTAACCGCTAAAAACATTAGAATAAAAATTACATCCTTATGATAATGATTAGTTGCTTGAAAAAGGATATGCAATGTTTTATGTTTGTGTACATTATGCAAATATAGTCCTTATTCATAAAGATAAGAATTTTAGGATAAGAGTTCATCTCATTTTTTATCGTCAAATTATAGGTAAAATCTCATTTTAATCATTGATTTTTAAAATGTCGCAAAATAAGTTCTTTGTCTATGAATTATCTCAAATTAGTCTTTTCGTCTATCTAATTATTAAAATCTCGATGGAAAGAAGTACATGAGGATCATGTGACGACCATGTGCCACTTCTGGTTGAGATTTGAAGGATGAAAAGACATGATGTACAGTAAAAAAGAAAGACACACACTTTCCATTGAAATTTCAACAACAGGAATAGAATAATATGATATATTATGGACTTGGGACATTTTAAAGAGAAATTTAAAATGTACTCATTAAAATTTAGCTAAATTCTATATTTACCTTATGTTTTTTAAAATTTAAAAAGTATCTCATATGTTTTTAAAATATCCCAAAATTATCCCCTATGTTTTTAAAAGAGTAAAAAAAAAAAAAATTAACTGGTCAAAATTTTGAAATACCATAAATAAACTCAATAATTACTATTTAAATATTATTTTGGCCATTAATTATGTAAAATTTGCAAAATATAAACTTTAAACTAAATAAAATAAAGAAAACAATGCCAATGTATTTGAATGACCGCGGGCAGGATTCAATGCAAGACGGGATTGATGTGGCAAGTCTAAATTTTCTAGTTGTGTGTTAGTGGCGAGGGCACAAGATCATATACGGAGCTAGACCAGTTTTAACCTGTTAAATTTTAGAATTTTTTTAAAATACAATTTAGATTTTTAAAAATTTTATCTTCTTTTCCTAAATTTAGTTTTTTTTGTTATTAATATTTAAGATAATAAATAATGTCATTTTTGACAATTGACCATTCAAAGGGTTAAATTTTAAAAGAAAAAAGCTTAGTTATAATTTTGGGATAATAGATTAAAAATTTATCAATCTTTATTGACACTATGAACTATGAGCATTGTGACATTTTTATCAATTGAACTTTTAATTTTGATAGATTACTCTATGACTTTTTGTTTTTTAAACAATTTTAGTCTCTGACTTGAAATTGATGAATAATTTTTAAACAATTTTAGTCTCTGACTCGAAATTGATGAATAATTTCTAAAAATTTAACGTAGATAATCACATCCCTATTACATAACAATTGAAAATTTTACATAAAAAGTTATAATAAGTGTAAAATGTGCTAGGTTTTAATGGGTTTCAACAATAGTGAAGATAATATTTTGCACATAATATAAAGTTCATAAAGTAATTTGTTAAAATTAAAAATTTAATGACCAAAAGTGTCACTATGCTCGTAGTTTATATCCATAGCTTCCTACTAAGGAAGAATGAGGTTTTTTTAGGGCGTTTCGTTGCCTTTATTTTCGGCATTTTTTTTTATTTCCACTGTTTGTATATATATATATATATATATTTTACTTTTTGTTTCATTCTTTCCTCCCTTTTTTCTTTTAACTTTTCCCCATTTTTCATCTCTTCTTTCTTTTTTATACCCTTTTTACATTTTTCTTTTCTCTCTCTTTTTTTTGTCTTCCTCTTTTTGTCTTCATTCTTATCCTTTTTATCATATTATACATTTTTTTAATTTCTCTAAATGAAACCCTAATAAATATGTTTTTTTTTTTATTTTTACTTACAAAATTTCACGTTTTTTATTTTTACTTACATTTTTTTATCATATTATATATTAATAGTATTAATAATTAAATTTAATAAAAAAGATAAATGATTATGGGAATAACGTCAAATTTATCCACGGTTCAGATTTTTTCGCCACATTAACGTGGAAATGACAATCCTGACCAAACATGACGATAATCCACCATAGGAGTGAAATACTATCTAGTACTCCATTAAACTCGTGGATAAAGAGAGTCCACGCATGGTCCCCCAAATTCAGCCACTACTTTAAGGTTTCCAAGTCCACAATTCTACATTTCGAAACCCCTTTCCCAAGCAAAACAGATCAAGACAAAACACATCTAAAAAATTCCAGAACATTTCATTTCTCCTCCATTCAACTACTTTTTATAGGCATAATCTCTTAAGAAATACATATCGTTTAATGCCAAGATGGGCATGGTTTTTGGAAAGATCAGCGTCGAAACTCCCAAACATGAAGTGGTCCAATCCACAAACGACTATGAAATCCGAAAATATGAACCTTCTGTGATAGCCCAAGTCACCTACGATCCATCCCAATTCAGAGGCAACAAAGACGGCGGTTTCACTTTGCTGGCAAACTACATAGGAGCCTTGGGCAATCCACAGAACACCAAGCCTGAGAAGATTGCCATGACGGCCCCGGTCATAACAAAAGCTTCTGAGAAGATCGCAATGACGGCTCCGGTCGTGACACAGAGCGGCGGTGGAGAGGAGAAGAAGGCGGTGACAATGCAGTTCCTGTTGCCGGCGAAGTACCGGAAGGCGGAGGAGGCGCCAAGGCCGGTGGATGAGAGGGTGGTGATCACGGAGGAGGGTGAGAGGAAGTATGGGGTGGTGAGGTTTGGCGGGGTGGCGACCGAGCAAGTGGTGGAAGTGAAGGTGGAGAAGCTGAAGAAGAGCTTGGAGAGAGATGGTTATAAGGTTGTTGGGGAGTTCTTGTTGGCAAGGTATAATCCACCTTGGACTTTGCCTGCCTTTAGGATTAATGAGGTTATGATCCCAGTTGAGTGATTTTATAGGACTTTGTCGGATTTCTTACTATAGTTTCTCTTGTTTTCTTGTGTGTAAAATAGGTTGTTCTGCTTGATTGGGTTACTCACACTTGTATCTTCTTCTGTTGGGTAATGTGGCTTATCTTGCCATATATTATGTTCCATGCTTTCATCAATATATATATATATATATATATATATTATGTTCAATGCTTGGGAAGAATATGTTATCTAGGTTCTAATCAAATATCAAGTCGTTTTTGCATAGACGAAGCTATCCCATAAATCAAAGATAAAGAGAGTATATAAAAACATAATAGGCCCGTTTAGTTCGCTGATTCGAGTTTTTAATTCGAGTTGAGATGTGATTTTATGTGAGAGTTTTTTACTGTAGCAAAAAAGTTAGATGTGATTGTTTATGAGAGCTTTTTACTGTAGCAAAACTCGAATTCTAAACTCGAATTAGCGAAATGAACGGGGTCTAAATACCCGTATAGAAGAAATGGAACAGAAACTTATAGATTGCTAGATTTCACTTGAATAAAGGGCTATGAAGGCAAAACTAAGTCCGTACAAGCACAAAATGCCCAAGAATAAAGCTGTAGGCTGCTAGACTATAGGTCACTTCTTGATTGTTTGAGCAGCCAAAAGAATTTTTTTTTTTTTCCCAACCAAAAAACTATAGGCTGCTAAACAATCAAGAAGTAACTAGAAAGAAAAAGTAGAGTTTGAAATGACATTCTATATTATATCATTTGGCTTTGATGATTAAACTTAGCTTATTGTTATCTTTTACTTCAATATGTTTGGGGCTCAACCCAATTATCACACACAATTCTTGAACAGGAAAATTTTTCTGCAACATTTATTTCACAAACTATACAGATATTGAACGTCTAAAATAGCAAAATCTCTTTTGCCTCAGCCAGAAAACAGCTTCACTACAATAGTTACAATATTCAAAAGTATGAGTGGCAATCTGAAGAATTGGCATGCATGTATAAGCCCTATGATCTGCCCCTTGAGTGTATTTCTCCTGCCTCGTTGGAGTTCTACCAATGTCCACCCTCTAGGAGCAAGGAACCGGTCCTCATTCAGTATCGCTAATGCATTCGCAAATAGCAGAAGCCCTTCTAATAGTGTCCAAAACCCCATTTTCTGTATTATTTCCGGGGAAGAAAAACTTGGATCAGATGGATTAACAAGTGATGCAACATCCTAACAGAGTGCATAATATGACAGCTAAAGTTGCTCCAATACGCCTTCTTTGTCAACACACCCCAAAATCCTTTCTTCTGGGGGTAGTTTTAAAAGCAACAACATTTTATAAAATCTATTTATCCAGACATTAATTCAAGCTCAAATAGAATCATTCTTGAAAGGTAACGATACGAACGAAAGCTTAAAGTATTTCCTAAAATTATCCCTTTCTCAATAAAAAAGACACAGGAAGTAACTCCCCCAAATCATTTCTTGGGATAGTTTTAAAAGCAGCGGCAAACTTTGACAAAATTTATCCACCAAAAACCAACAAGAGCTCAGCAAGGTCATAAGCCACTCACCCCCCACGCAAGTCGTGGGTTTGAGCTCGGATCGTTGTGGTGGTCAGGGTATGTAATGAAGCGGAATGGAGAGAACAAAATTTACCAGCCTAACCGGGACGGTCAGGGTATGTAATGCAGCGGAATGGAGAGAACAAAATTTACCAGCCTAACCGGGACGAAGGATGAGACTTAGAGTTCTCAAATCCACTTAAACATAACCCACAAGGGAAACCCCAAAATTGGAGAGAAAACTCAACTCTAGTATTCAATATCTCAATAATCAAGTCTCCTATTTTAATAGCTAATATAGCTATTTATAGCTCAAACACAAAATGATAACAAAATATCCAACAACAAACTAATAACAAAACAAAACTAAATTAAAAAGGTAGAACAAACGATAATGAAAATATAAAAATGACTACTTATAGCTAAATCTTCCTGCATTAGCATAGGATGATTTGGGTACATCATCCTCAACCAAAAAGTTCTCATCTACCCAGAAATCAGTTCAGGCTTAATCCCCACTAATGTCTCAATTCTCATCTTCCCAAACCAAATCAGGGTTCATTCTTATTATAACGCGGTGCATATCAACACCCTGTGTACGAAATAATGACAACTTTTTGCAGAATAGGGAAGTTGTTCACTCTATGCATAAGCCAAAATTACAAAAGCGAATCCAAATGGAAAGAAATATGTTTCAGCAATAAAAACAGTAAATTATTATATCCTGAAAAGTTAGAGCCGATTTTCTTGAGATTATAGTCATAAGGTGAATTCGTACTGGGATTTTATAGTCAAAGCTTTAAGCCAATAAAATGAAATTCAGGTCAAGCTGAAATTTTACAAAAGAATTAATTCAAGAGGTGAGATTTGAGATACTATAATTACCAAAGCTTTAAGCAATTTCACATAGAAGCCAACTTATTTCACATTGAAAAGAAAAATAAAAGCGGGATTACTGAATTCAGGGAAAATGATCAAAATTCAAACCCAGCCTTTATTTTCCTACTCGGACGGAATATATCAAAACTCTTTCAGTAGATAAAATCATAGAATTCTTACCAGTAAAAACTACGGAAAGCTGTACCCGTAAAAGCCCAGAAAACCCTCTATGACAATGGAGAAGAAACGAGAAACAAACGGTTTCTGATAGGGGTAATTGGGATGGTCTTTTCATCGTTAAGTCTAATGGTATTATCAAAGCGCAAAAAAAAAAAAACAAAAAAAAAGAGTCTATTGACTTTTTAGAAGACGTTGGGTTGATGAATTCAGAATCATAATTCAGAATTATTTTTTATTTATCTGTGTTTTTTATGAAAAAAATACTATAATGAACTACTTAATTCAAACCATAACACGAATTCTCTAATTAAATATTCCCTTAATAAGCAGGTTACGACGTTAAGGATCTTTTAAGCAGGAGGAATAAAATGGTAAAAAGATGGATTGAGTCGGAGAGAAGGAAAGTATGAAAGAAGGAAAGAATTGTATATTTTTTTTTAAAGTTGTTTGATACGATAGCAAGGAAAGGTACTTTTCATTCTTTTGTTTGATATTAGATGGAAATGAGGAGGGAATGATTAGTTTTATTGATAAAATTACTATAGTAACCTTTTTGCTTAATTTGTATTTGCATTATGTGTCTTTATATTACACAAATACGTTGCTTTATTATTCAAAAAAAGAAAACGTTGGTTTATTATATATATAGATACTAGACATTATTATTACTGGATTTTTATACTAGAACTGGTGTATAACTGTATATTTGGGATGCTTTCGTGAAAAAAATAGATAGAAAATATTTTATATTAAAAAAGTAAATATCTTTATCTACAACGTACTCATAAAAAAGAGATAATAATAAAAGGAAAAAAAAGGAAAAAAAAAAGAAAAAAGAAAACATGTGAATAAGGTTTAAAATATCTAAGGATTTTGTGGAACATTAGCAAGTTGACAAAGGTTAATACGGGAAATTCGGCAATTTTATTTCCCCTCAACTTCTTAATCCGTGCATGAATGGGAGGATTGTTTTTTGGAGGGCGCAAGGGATTCACAATCCCTTCTTTCTCCCCCTCCTCTCACCTTTCCGCCCAACCAAACAAGGTTACTTTTCATTTTTCACACCTCAATCCCTCCATTCCTATCCCTCCATCATTCCATCCTCCCTACCAAACACACCTAAGAGCAATAGGGGCGATTATATTTTTTTTGTTTTTTGTTTTTTTATTTTTATTTTTTGCTATTAGGTAATTAAGATGGTTAGTCCCTAAATCTTGAGAACGTTGATATTTTCGTCCCTGAATTTTTAATTTTGACCCATTACTCTATAAATTTTGGTTTTTTAATAGTTTCTATTACAGACAGTGAATTTTTGTTTTTCTTTTTTTATAATTAGTTCTTATACCAAAAACTTATACAAATTTAAACCCTAAATATTTTTTTTTCTGAATAAACCTTAAATCTTTTTGATATCTTAAATTTAACCCCTCAATCATATTCTACTAAATTTTTGGATGGAAAATATTCAATATTAGTTATTTTTAATACTTAAATAATAGTTGTTAAGTAATAGGAAAAAAAAATGAGAACATGTTCTTCCCACTGCATTTCTTGCAAAAAGGGACATTAATGGTCCGTTTGATTCATGTGTTTAAGTCAATAATTTTGATTTTAAATTTAAATTTTATGAAAGAATCATTGACAGGAACTATTTTAATTCAAATTTTTTATGAAATAAAAGTGCTAGAAAAATCAGAATTATAGTTTTAAACAAACGGGCCTTTTATGTCCTAGTCATTTTCTTATGAAAATTAATATATTTAAATTCATTGTGGCCACAGGAGATCCTTGACTTTGAAAAAGTTGGAATTCAGTCTCATGCTTGAAGAATTCCTACAATGTTCTAGCATTTCTCAACGGGTAATCTCGACAAATACCATTTAAAAGTGTATGAGTAAAGATTTTTACCTTTTACTCTTGATTCATAACCTTTTTAGTCAAATAATTACACTAACAAAATAATATTTATTAAGAGTAATAGCTAAATGTCCAGACTCATGTACTCTTAAAAGTAAATTCTCTATTTTTTATTTCTCAACTGCCACAAATAGCCTATTATGACACCATCATCTTGCACATAGGGCCCGTTTGGGATAGCTTGTAATTATACTTTTAAGTAGTAGAAAAAGATAAATATAGTTGGATCTTTTTTATTAGTATTTGGATAATGTTTAAAAAATATTTTTATATCTAAAAAGAGCTTTTAAATCTGTTTGGATAAAAAAATCAAAAGTACTTATTATTATAAAATGTAATGTAATAAAAGGATATAAATAAAATATTTAATTTAATGTTCACATATAAAAGGTTAAAAATGTAAATAAAAAAAGCATAATCGTATCATGAAAGTTGCATATAAACAACAAAAGCATAAATTGTGTTCAGTTTGTTTCATCTCAATAAAAAATAAAACGCAGGGAAATTACAAGATAAAATTAAGGTGAAATTAACTTTATGGTTTTGGTTCAATCTGTTAAAATTACAAGGTCGACTTTCCTTTAAGGAGATTACACATTATTTTCATCCTAAATTTAACAGGATGTAACTAAGGACTAAATTTAAAACATCGAAAGAGTTTAGTGTCTAAATTAGTATAATTTTTAATAGAAGGAATAATAGAAGAGGATAAGTTGCGGAACCTCCAATGAATTTAGCTCAATCAAAACTCAAAAACTATAAATATATAAGAATAAAGAGTTCAAAAATTAAAATATCAGAATGTTTATAGTTTATGACTAACAATGATAATAATACCTTGGTTTATAAGGTTGCTAAATTGCTTTGAAGTGAAACGGCATCTTGTTTTCAAGTTCAACGTCAAATTTCACAACTTGTTATTTTTTCTCCTTTTTTTTCCTAAACTTCAAAATGTTAGCAAACCTCCTTCTCCATTTACAGACGAAATTGTTGATGTGGTACCTAATTTAAATATCAAAAGCTCATTAAAGCTCTAGAAGGGTCAATCATGAAAACAATAATATATTGATAAAAATACCTAAAAAAATAAGAAATATGTAGGACTTATCATATTATGAAATAATGTTCTGTACGTATAGAACAATTTTGTAAACCTTGTTAACACAGAAACCAAATATTGTTGTGTGAATTAAAACTGCAGAATAGTAAATGACAGAGTGATAGATTTTTTTAATGTAGCCATAAACTATTATTAAAAAAAAAAAAAAACTATGAGTGCTAGTCACACTAGACCAAAAATAGAATTTTACTGAACACCGAATTATACTTATAAATGTTTGAAAAATCTTTAAGATACTTCGACTATGTGTTTTAACGATTAGCAGAAAATATTATTTTAAGCGTTAGATTAAATTTTCAAGAGTATGATATAAGTATCTACAATTTGCATCAACAATTAGTAGGAAATATTATTTTAAGCATTAGATTAAATTTTTAAAAGTATAATATAAGTATCTACAATTTGCATCACTCAACTCATAAAAAGCTCTAATCATAAATTAAACTCCACGACTGAAACGACAATTTTTTAAAATAAAGGTCCGATGGTATAAATTCCAATTTGTAAATACGGCTTCTTGCATGCTTTTTTGAACTGAGATCTTTCCTTCATCGTTGAGGAGAATAACTTTTGTGCCTCACAAAATTTATTGAGTGTCGCCAAAGCCAGTTGATGGAGATATCTTTCAGTTCTTTTTTTGTGGGGAGTAAAATTTATCCAAAAGACAAGTTTTTGGTTTTTTTGTCGTTTAAAATTCCGTTGTCGTTTATCTAAAAATTATTTGGGAAGACAGTTAAGAGTAAACGTTCTGACAAGTGACCGACCACCCGATAGAATTTTGGCAAAGGAGGAGGAAGATAGGAGACCAATTTAGCAGCAAGCAACGGCCAAAATGGATAAACCCTAGCTCTCTCCTCTAAACCCCTAGCCATGGCGTCCCTTTATCTACTTCCCCCTTTTCTCGCCCTTCCCCGCCATAACTCAACAACTTCCATAGCTTTACAACCTCCCAACTCCATTAAAAACTCCCCACATTTCGAGCTTTATTCTTCTCTCAACCTCTTCAAATCGCCTAAGCCAAAACCCCCACGTCCCAGAGCTTCCATTAATGGAGAAAGCAATGGACCCGTCGAATCCAAGAAACCCACTCGCCGAGGCAGGAAAAAGGGGTCCACAACATCACCGTCTTCCTCATCATCTTCTTCTGCTCCGAAAAAGCAGACCAGGCGTTCGAGAAAAAGCCAACCCGAGAGTAATAATGGCCAGATTTCGGATAAACCCACGAAACAACAAACCCCACAAGAAGAAGAAGAACAAGACTCGGATTCAGAACTGGAGGATTACGACGACGGAATAGGTTTCCCGTACGAAGACCCTCCTCTGGTCTGCTGCTTCGGCGCGGCGCAGAAGGAGTTTTTGCCGACGGTGAGGGTCTCCGACAACCCGATGCACCCGGACATCTACTCCCAGTGGAAGATGCTCCAGTGGGACCCGCCGGAGTTCGTGCGGGCACCCGGCGGGCCTTCCTCCAATGTCGCGATATCCCACGTGCGGCTTGGCGGGAGGGCGGCGTTCATGGGGAAGGTTGGGGATGATGATTATGGGGATGAGTTGGTTTTGATGATGAATCAGGAGAAGGTTCAGACGAGGGCTGTCAAGTTTGATCCGACTAAGAAAACGGCTTGTTCGTATATGAAGATCAAGTACGAGGATGGGAAGATGACGACGGAGATGGTCAGAGAGGCCGCCGAGGATTCTCTGCTTAGCTCGGAGTTGAACCTTGCTGTGCTCAAAGAGGTAATAGATCTTCCTTCTAGTTGAGGAAAAATTCACAAACGTTTCTTTGTTTTTTTTTTCTTTTGTCAATGGGACTACTTTGTGATGGGTTTTATAGTTTGCCTGCATTTAGGCATTGTTCTTTTCACTTGGCCGAGTGTGTTCACATAACATATAGAAGTGAGAATGGTACCGCGGTTTCTTCAATATAGTAATGAAATTGAAAAGGTATAACACCGAGAAATTGAAAAGGTATGAGTTGAGACGTGACTTTATGCGCAAAGTTTTTACTGTAGTAAAAAAGTTAGATGTGACTTTTCTAAGAGCTTTTTACTGTAACAAAACTCGAATTCTAAATTTAAATCGGTGAAATGAACAGAGCTTAGTTATTCTAGACTATTGTTACACCTCTACAACGTCACTACATTTATTCAGTGTAAAGCCGATGTTAAAAAATTATAATGCAAGAAATTTGTTGTTGCAAATTATTGTTACACCTCTCCAACATTCTTATTGCATTAAATAAATTATGTTATGCTTCTCGCTTATATATACACACATATATATGTTCTGCAGTATAAAGTAATGTGGGATATAATTTAGTAACAGAAAATCATTTTGAGGATCCATACATAAGCACACAACTGTTGCATTTCACTTCTGAAATGTTATGATGTGAATATATTGTAGGCAAGAATGTTTTACTTTACTTCAGAAGTCCTGACATCTCCCTCCATGAAACGGACACTTTTCAAAGCGATTGCATATTCCAAAAAGTTTGGGGGCCTTCTGTTTTTCGACCCCAATTTGCCTTTGCCTTTGTGGAAATCACGCGATGAGACAAGGGAATTTATCAAGAGGGCCTGGAATGAAGCGAACATCATTGAGGTGACGAGGCAAGAGCTGGAATTTCTTCTTGATGAAGAGTATTATGAGAGAAAGAGGAATTACAGGCCCCAATATTATGCTCAAAATTACGAGCAAACGAAGAACCGGAGGGATTATTATCATTACACTCGTGAAGAAATATCTCCTTTGTGGCATGATGGACTTAAATTTTTGTTCGTAACTGATGGGACACTTCGAATCCATTTTTACTCCCCAACCTTTGATGGCGTCGTAGTTGGGACTGAAGATGTGCTCATAACCCCATTCACTTGTGATCGGACTGGTTCTGGTGATGCCGTCGTAGCTGCTATTATGAGAAAGCTAACAACTTGTCCAGAGATGTATGAGGACGTAGATGTTCTGGAGAGGCAACTGCGCTTTGCAATTGCAGCTGGGATTATATCACAGTGGACTATTGGTGGTGTGAGAGGTTTTCCCACTGAAAGTGCGACACAAAATCTCAAGGAGCAGGTTTACGTACCTTCGATGTGGTGATCTGGATGATACTGTAGTTCTGAAAAATGGATGTGAAATTTTTTCAGTTGTGAAAAGAATTTTGTTCTGTTTTGAAGATGGACGAGGAAAAAATTGCTCTGCTATACTGGTCTGGTGAGTTTTGTATAATTTTGATTTAATTAAACAACAAGACTAGTTATTTGATCTAGTGCATTTCATAGGTTAGAGACTGCAAGCATATTATTGCAATGCAGTGCGATTTTTTGTGCATTCTCTCTATGTCTCCAATCAAATAGTGAAATTACATATTCTCGGTACTTCTCCCATATTCTCCGTACATAGAACCAATCAGTTGTTGTTTGATCTATGTTTTTATTGGTTTGTTAGCTTTTTTATTGTTTGAATTTAGGTAAATTAGAACTGTTGCCACCTCTGAAAGAATCAAATTTCAAAATTCACTGTCAACCCTATTGTCAAAATTCACTGGTTCTCTGAACTTGTGTAAGATAATCTTTTCAACCCTGTTGTCAAAAATTTAACAAACAAAAATGACAAGTTTTGAGAGCAAGATCATGTACCTCTTTAATTAGGTTTGGACTTTGGTAGATTGAGTAGGCTATGATTTACTACTATTCAAACTCAAATATACAAGAGACCTTTCCTGCCTTTCCGTTCAATTATGAATGAATAAATCATTTTGGTGTTGTGTGAACGCGGATGAGGAAGGAAAGAATATCAACAGTCTCGTGAAAATTTAAGTGCTTGCCTGGTTTGAGGGTTCAAACCAATCCAGTATTCAAAATTTTGTGAGAGAAAACAATATAGCAAAACTTTTTAAATTTAAATTTTTTATGAGAGAAACCATTGTTTGAGCCAAGCTCAAGGTGATTTGAACCCTCAAACCAAATATGCACTAAGTGTGTTGTACGCACAAAAGAGTACGACTCACTTGGGGAGCGCTTGCCTGAAAATACTAGAAAACTTGAAGATGAAAAAACAGATGGGATAAACGTCATAATGTTTGATCTTTTTAAGAGTCAGGGAACTCTTACTTGCAAGCTATCTTCCCATCCACATCCTTTATCAATCTCAAAAGCAATTTAATAACCAAAGTTGAGGCAATCTTATTTGGTAATTAGAGGCATTGGTAAAACTATCATCAAGACCACTTATTTCTAAGAAGAGGAAGGCCATGCATTACGCTCTTTCGTCAAATAGCTATAACCCTTGTTTGTATGCGTCATGCTCTTTCATCACATGGCTCAACATCATCGGTGATGCTGAAGTTAGAGATATGTTAAAAGATGTTCCACAAATAAATATATGACACAACTGCAGGGGCAAACTGTATAAGCTGATTTCTATTATGAATCAATTGTGAAGTATATGGAAGTTGATATTCAATTCACAATGAAGCGCAATTTGACAAATTGGCTTTGGCAATAAAATCAAAGAAAGACTAATAAATGAATAAATGAATTATACATCAATATTTGGCAGGGATGCTATCTCTGTAACATTGAAACTATCCTGATTTGCCTCTCTGTGTTCCTAAATATCACTTGGTAAAGATGAGGCCCGCGTCCGTTGCCACCCCCCCAACACTGAAACTTTGTATGTTCAAATCACAAGGGAGACCTCGACCTCTCGAACTCTTAGGGAGCTGCAGTCTTTCACCAGCGGCCGAAGGAGCAATTTGCTTTGATAGCCCCATTGCACCTGCCACTAAAAGCAATACATATAACTGTCTATTCAACTCTGTACTCACTTTAACATCTATCTTTGTAATGAGGTCCTTAGACTCCGTCTTTGTTCGAGCTTCGTGCTTGTTGTAAATGTCTCCAGAGGCTTATTACAGATGCAACCAGGTAGAGGGTTTGCATAAAAATTCTCCTCCAACTTTGGTGAATCTCCAGGCTCTCTGAGATATGGTGCTCCAAGCCTGTCTGAATGTACACTCTTAACCTCCAACGAAAATTCTTCCCACGATATTGCATGTTCATCTAACTGATCAATCAGTTTAACAAAATTTTGTCTGAAAAAAATAAAAAAGAGAATAGAGTTGATAATTATCAGAATGCTAGAATCTTCAAGACTGAGTTAAAAAAGCGGGGGAGAAAAATCAAACACACTTAAGAAAACTAACCTGTCGGGGTTGATAGTCTTTTTAAACCCATCGAACCTCCTATGGCCCTGAACTGCCTTTGCCATGTTCCCGTCGTACGTATAAACAAAGACATCACTATCAAGTGCCAGAAAGTAATCCAATGCGGCAAGGCGATTTTGATAAGGCTCGAAGGGGGCTAACTCTTCTTCCGTTGCAAGCGTGGAATGAGAGAAGACATTTGGGTACTCTGCGCGAAAGGCTGCCATGCTATTGCTGCCATATATTTCTCCGGCAACAATGTAGATAGTTGTTGTGGAAGGATACCCCATGGCCTTGAGAAACATGGCTGCCTCTCTTGGCGACATAGGACATCCTCCTTGTAACCTGCGTTCTTTGCTATCAATCTCTTTCTCCTTCCAATGCTTGACGTTATACCTCATATCTTGAAGTTCCCCGGCTTCCTCTGAAGTAAGATTGTGGCTGCAGCCTGTGAATGCAAGCATGTCTTTCTCATATCTGCAACCAAGAATTTTGTGCTTCATTAAAGAACCTATTCCGCTATTGAAAAGGAGAAATACTAACAGACGCAGCATAATAAAGGTACCTTAAATGCAGAGCAATATATGGATCGCTGTTGTTCCTCAGTCTATCAACCAATATCTTTCCAAGGTCCTCAATTTCCTTTGAGTATCGGAGAGCCTCGTAATTGGCACGACATCTAAGCTTTTGAATTGAGGATGCAAGGTTGTTATTGGCGAGGCGAGAATCTGTATGAGTAAACTTCACGACTTTATGCTTCTTTAATAACGGAGCTAGTTCGTTTCTGTAATAACTAGCCTGCATTTTAAAACATCTGAGATACAATTCTAGTGATACAAGTTGACAAATGGATGCATCTAGTGTCGAGCAGCAAAAAAAATATTGCACGTAATTGTCACACCTTAGACCAAGAGACAGGAGGCTTAAGGAGGGGTTTCACGGCTGCATAGCGAGGAGGCAAATACTCGACTATTTCAATATCGTCTTTCAAGACTTCCATGAAGTGTCTCCAGTCAAATATATCTTTAAATTCACTGCAGAGTAATAGAAAATTCAGTTGACTTAGTGAGCAAGATAAACATCTCATCACACAACCTCAAATGTAAAGAATCATTCATACCTTGGATCTGTCCAAAATGACGAATGATCAAGAGAAGGAAGAACCAAGGTGGCATTCATAAGCTTTGCTGCAGCAACCATATCACAAATCTGCACATCATTTGTATCAAAATGTTAGCTCCAGAAAGTCACTCATCCTGTGTTAACCATGAAAAGGGTACATCAAGAAATCTTTGGAAAAAAATAATAAATAAATAAAATGTTCTTACCCCTGTTCTCATTTGATTCAATCCACCGTTGGCGTGAACAAGAAGATAACCGTTCGTTTTAGAACCTGGTTTCCCTGGGGTCAATTCATATGAGAGATGAATCAGACCAAAAGTTTTAATTAAGATGCTAAATGCTGAAAAAAAATAAAAAAATAAAAATATACGTTGACCAAAATCATACGTACTTATTCGATTCTTGGGTCGATCAATGCACTTCTGATAACTGCCGCTGTTAGGCTTCATCCATATTTCAGGTGTCTACGCAATAAAAAAAAAAAAAAAAAAAAGGCATCAAATCATCAAAACCATATGTTCAAGGACATTTTTTGTTTAAAATTCCTGTTTAAACTTGATCAGCCAATACCATCGTGACATTGCTGTGAATTAAATGAAAAAAAAGGCAGCCATTCTACTTTTTTTTCTTTTTTCTTTTCTTTTTTGTCAAAATCATTAGAATTCCCAAGTTTGCCTATCAATTTTAGGTTCCGTTCATTTTATTAATTTAAATTTAGAAATTCGAGTTTTGTTACAGTAAAAAGTTTTCATAAATAAATAGTAAAACTTACTTTTTAACTATAATAAAAAATCTCTCACATAAAATTATATCTCAACTCAAATTAAAAATTTAAATCAACGAACTAAACAGGCTTTAAAATCTAAGGAACTTGAACTGAATCATGAATGTAGCAAATATACCAACCACAAATAGAATGAACACAACAATGGCCCAATAATCATTCGTTGAAAAGTCATATATAGCTATTGCAATTGGTTAGCAGCCGCCGTCCCAGAAATTTCAATTCTAACAATTTCTCCCCAGTAATCCACTACTTCTTAACCAGCCATAAAGTCAACGAAACCCATTCAACCCTTAAAAAAAATATAAACAATAAATTCTAAAACGGCCAATTAAATTCATCAACCTCTTCATTTCACGTCCAGAAAAACTGGAGAAAAAAAACCTTGACCCGTAATAGAAACTACAAAACAGAAAAGTCGCTGAATATCAAAGAAATACATACATGTATACATATATATATATATCTATATATATAATCTAATCTAACAGTTCAAAAACTTGAAAAGAAAAAAAAAGTAACAAATAGTACAACAAAAAACAATTCTCCGTTCACCAACCTCCTCAAATTTCAAAAAAAAAAAAAAGTCTAAAACCGACCAGGGAGACTGCAAACAATAAATTTTGCAAATTCATAAAAAAAGTTCTATTAATATCTAACTGTTTAAAAATATAAAATTTCCAATGTACTTACAGAAAACTCAAGAACTCGCTTGGGCATGGAATTCTGGGCCTCGGAGACGACCCGTTGGGCCATGGCGGATTCATCCGTGAAGGTTTGCAAGATTAAAAGCCCGTTACTCTCCTTCTCCACGTTGGCCTTGCCGTCGACGTCGACGTGGCCACTCAAAAACGAGACCTTCACGAACAACGACAAAACCGCCATTACAATCAGCGCCACGAAGATCTTACGGCCCGCGCTCTTCCCCGTTCTTAGCGCCTGAACCATCGCAGCCGTCCACAAGACCCCCTCCTCGATCCCCACCATCCACGCCTCGGGCACACAGAGCAGCATCCGCCTGCGCAGCAGCAGATACCTCGCCACCGGGTGGTGATGATGAGGAGAGTAATGGTGGTAATGATATTGATTATGGTGGAGGTGATGATGATGAAGACTGTGGTGGGGCCCAGTGCTCCCACTAATGGAGCCGTTGGGCTCGTACTGGTCTTCCTCGTCGACCACGCGTCGCCGCGCCGCGGCTGTGGGGCCCACTGACCTAGGGCTTCCGCCAGACGAGCTGCTGGAGACGCCGCCTGACGACATCGCCGGAAAACGAGGAATAAGAGAGGAAAAATAATTCTCCGGCGAAAGAATAGAAAACAAAAGAGGAAATTTTGAAAAAGTTAATAAAAAAAAAAAAAAAGAAAAAGAGAAAAGAGGGGAAAAGGAGGAAATAGTTGTCAGGTGTGGAAAAGTGTTTGGAGAGAAAGAGAAAGAAAAAGAGAGGGAACCGTCGGTACGAGGGGCTTTGAGGCCTTCGGCTTTTTTTGGTTTTATGGTTTTCGGAGGAGGTGCCCGTAATCTAAGGCCAGCAGAGGCGTTTATTATTTTCTCATTTTCTTCTTTCTAAATAGATTTATTTATGTAAATTATATGATATATTCCATAATTTATAAATACACACATATATATATATATATAAATATCTATTTCCAGTTTTCAACCTCTCCTCTCTCTCTCTCTCTCTCTCTCTGAAACTTATTAGCGGAACACAGGTGCAATGGTGGAATGTGGATTTGGGGGATTGGACTCTCGGTTTCCTTCTGAGCTTCGTGGTTTTTATATTGTTTTGTTACAAACCAACTTTGAAATTACTCTATTACCCTTTTGAATTTTAGGGGAGCGACAAAATAGAAGCTTTTTGGAACAAAAAAGAAATGTTCCTTTTTGGTGCTTTACGGTTTTCAGTTTGCTCTCTCATTTTTCTTATTGTCTGTTTTCTTTTCCTATTTTTCCTTCTCTCATTATTTTTTTTAAATTTTTTTCTTGCAATAATTCTTGGGCATGCAGTTTTTTTTAAAATCTTTTTGATAAAATCTTGGAGATATACTTCATTTGCGTGGTAACCATTAGGGATGATAATATTCTCCGTGAGAATAGGCCCCGTTTTAATGGGATCAGAGATGAAAATAAAATTTAGACCTCGTTCACTTTGCGGATTTAAGTTTTCAATTTGAGTTGAGATGTGATATTTTGTGAGAATTTTTCACTGTATCAAAAAAAGTTACATGTGACATTTTTTGAGAGCTTTTTACTGTAAAAATCTAAAACTGAAAACTCGAATCGGTGAAATGAACGAGGCCTTAGTTCCCGATTCACGACGCAATAAAAATTGAAACTATTAGGAAGAAACAAGGAATGATCATTTACGTTTATATTTTGATGTTTTAAACCTTTTTCGTTTATATGTTAGCTATTACTTTTGGATTCAGTTTGTAATATGTTCAAAAAATTTTGTTTTATTATGGAACTTTTGATTTTGATCTAAATTAATAATGAATTTTTACTATATTTTTATTTTAAGTTGCTATAATTTTGAAATACATAATCCTATAAGATGAAAAATATAACGGGTATGAAGAAGGCTCCTCTAATGGAGAATCTCTGACTTCGATCCCACTCCTTAAGCAGGGATAGAGACATAAATGAGAATAATTTATAATTATAGGAATGAGAATGAAAAATCATTCTCCGGCCCCGCCCCCCGCCGATTGGGGAGAGAGAGAGAGAGAGAGAGAGAACTTTGACGTTGATTTGTTGGGAAAAGATAGTACTTCATGAGGTTTACAACCGAACCAAAATGAAATTGAGATACTTTTTAATTCGTCTTGGTTATTCCGAATTTGTTTTTGTCTAAATACAATGACGTGTAACTGAACTAGTGTTGGTATAGTAATCGGTTCGCAAGTGAAGGCGCATCTTCTTTTTATTGTGTAACTGATTTTTTTTTCTTTTTTCTTTTAAATTAATTTCTTATATTTGAGTCTTGTACAAAACAAAGATTATATATGACAATTAAATAGAAGGTTTGGGACTTCTGGGACTTCGGAATATTGAAATAAATATTGGCTCATCCTTTTTCCTAAAAAAAAAAAAAAGAAAAAAAAGAGGTTATCCTTGAAATGCTTTGGATAACATTTTCTTACAAAAAATGTGTACAATTGCACTTCTAATTTAAGCAAGATTTTCGTATACTCAACTAGCTAGTTACTTTTCATTTTAAAATACTAAATTCAGAGTGGATTTCTTTTAGTGGTTGTAAATTCACACAATTGCTTCTTATATTGTCTAGAGTTTTAATCCAAAAAAAAAAAAAAAAATCTTTTATATTGTGTATATATATTGCCTTAAGTAGATAAATGGTTCAATTTTAATATAATTTTCCAGCCATGCTTTTTTTTTTTTAAATTAAAAATGTCACTTCCTTAAAGGTAATCAATATGGTTCACTCAATTCTTTTAGAACTAATCTATAACAATCCATAATTTAGACTTGGAACCTTCCAAATTGGGGATCAATAATTAGAAGGCTTTGAGTTAAGATGTCTATAGTCCATTATATTGTCGCTAAATTTGCATGTGAAATGTGTTAGAAGGGGTTTGGAAGGTGACTGTCTCTGTCTTTTATGCCCAAGAAAGCTACAATTAATTGCCACTTCATAAACAAAAAAAGGTCATATTTAACATCGCCAACTTAACGGATAGTAAAGTGTGTGTGTGTGTGTGTATATATATATATTTATATATATATATATATGTATGTATGTATGTATTTTCAAGTGAAGTATATTGGTTGCAAACACATTAGAAATTTATCTATTTATTTATTTATTTGTTTGTTGAAAGGATTGAATTAATATTGGTGGTTTAGCAACTTTACTTTGTCCTAACTCAAATATCAAGTAACGATAAAACTTAGTTTTAAGAAATCTTGTTTAATTATTGGGAAGTTATAACGATACCTTATAGGCAACTAGATCATGCACCTACAACGACCTAATCATATGTGTATTCATCGTATTTATCGTTCCACTTCCACGTTTTACATAGCATTGTTTGCGTATCATTTTCAGAAAATATTAATAAATAGATAAATTTCAAAGCTACTAAACACCACTTAAAATGACAGATTACCACAAGTGAAAAACACAAAGTCGTGTACATTATTTGTTGTTTTCTCCTATCTTGAAGATATTATCATTCTTTATCCCTTTTTGCTGCACATTTTGATGGGATATGCAAAGTGAACATTACTTATTAAACACTAGGCCCCGTTCACTTCGCTGATTCGAGTTTAGAATTCGAGTTGAGATGTGACTTTATGTGAGAGCTTTTTACTGTAGCAAAAAAGTTAGATGTGATTGCTTGTGAGAGCTTTTTACTGTAGTATGCCCAAGAAAGCTACAATTAATTGCCACTTCATAAACAAAAAAAGGTCATATTTAACATCGCCAACTTAACGGATAGTAAAGTGTGTGTGTGTGTGTGTATATATATATATTTATATATATATATATATGTATGTATGTATGTATTTTCAAGTGAAGTATATTGGTTGCAAACACATTAGAAATTTATCTATTTATTTATTTATTTGTTTGTTGAAAGGATTGAATTAATATTGGTGGTTTAGCAACTTTACTTTGTCCTAACTCAAATATCAAGTAACGATAAAACTTAGTTTTAAGAAATCTTGTTTAATTATTGGGAAGTTATAACGATACCTTATAGGCAACTAGATCATGCACCTACAACGACCTAATCATATGTGTATTCATCGTATTTATCGTTCCACTTCCACGTTTTACATAGCATTGTTTGCGTATCATTTTCAGAAAATATTAATAAATAGATAAATTTCAAAGCTACTAAACACCACTTAAAATGACAGATTACCACAAGTGAAAAACACAAAGTCGTGTACATTATTTGTTGTTTTCTCCTATCTTGAAGATATTATCATTCTTTATCCCTTTTTGCTGCACATTTTGATGGGATATGCAAAGTGAACATTACTTATTAAACACTAGGCCCCGTTCACTTCGCTGATTCGAGTTTAGAATTCGAGTTGAGATGTGACTTTATGTGAGAGCTTTTTACTGTAGCAAAAAAGTTAGATGTGATTGCTTGTGAGAGCTTTTTACTGTAGAAAAACTCGAATTCTAAACTCGAATCAGCGAAGTGAACGGGGCCTAAACTCTCACGTATGGCTTTGTCCAATTGCATCGTACAATCTCCTCTAAAAATGGCACAACAGAATCAGTGAGTTTTGGCTCGTAAATGCGTGCAAGTTGTACATTTGGGATATTTGTATTATCTTTAAGAATAATACTAAATTTAACACGAACTTTATCTTATTTTGTCATTGATGTATATTTTTTTAGGGGATGGACCTTATTTTTTAGGGGATTTTGATATATCTGTGACGGCTGAAAAATAAAAAAACACCGATGTTTTAAAAAAAGAAAAAAACACCGGAGAAAGTTCTTTATAGTAGATGAGTTTCTCCAGTGTTTCCTCCTTTTTGAAAACACCAGTGTTTCTGATTTAGTCAAAATCACACTACATTTAAAAAATATACAAAACAGACAAATTTTGATATAAATCTAACGACTGAAAAACAGAGAACATCAGGAAAATCCCTTACAATAAAATCTATAAATAATGTATTACTACTTTTCAATCTGTAGTGTTTCATTTGAATGGCCGAACAATTAGTATTATCCTTCATTATCTCAATTTTTATATAAATAACTATATAAAAAGTATATTATGATCCCGTTTGTTTTATCAATTTGAGTTTTATTACAGTAAAAAACTCTCAGAAACAGTCACATCTAATTTTTTTACTACAGTAAAAAGCTCTAATATAAAGTTACATCTCAACTCAAATTAAAAATTCGAATTAGTGAACTAAACGAGTTCTATAATTTTTTTAGTTTACGATAGTACTTTTTGTTTTTTAAATGTTGGAAAATATATTTTGGGTGTCTGGTCCAGTTGTTTTTGGCTAAATAATGTATTCCACTGCTTTTCGATCTGTAGTGTTTCATTTGTATGGCTGAACAATTAGTATTATCCTTAATTATCTCAATTTTTAAATAAATAACTGATATAAGAAGTATATTATAATTTTTTTAATTTACGATAGTACTTTTTTTTTTTAAATGTTGGAAAATATATTTTGGGTGTCTGGTCCAGTTGTTTTTGGCTAATCACCACCTGGTCCAGTTGTTGGTAAACACAAAAGGGATTTTACTTGCGCAATACAAATATTTTGTTGAAGGGTACTAAAGTCAATTCACAAATAAACATTGTACCAAAAA